GAAAAATATATAATAAATCTCTGCTTCCATAAAAATCAATAAATTACTGGTCATTTATTATCAGACAAAAATAACAGCCATAAATGTGGTTTCATTAAGTTCAATCGGTAATTCCATTATCATCAGTTAAAATTTGAAAGCTATCAAAACAAAATTATAAGTTATTCATTACCAAAGAAAAGTCAAATTACATTACGGGGGGCTCCCCCAAATTTGTATAGGGGGAGTTCAATACTCCCCCAATGCTAAAGTTTACAGGAAAAAGAAATCAAGGCAAGTTGAGAGATGGTGACACCAAGAGAGCACTAGTGGGATTTGAGGATTAGAAAACATTCGAACTGACAAGGAAAACAGATTAATACTGTAATTAGACTTACCAGCACAAAGTAGGCCTATTGCTTTCTCAGCTTCAGACACTCCTGTAAAACAGAAAACAATATAAATCTCTGCTTCCATAAAGACCAATAAATTACTGGTCATTTATTATCAGATAAAAATAACAGCCATAAATGTGGTTTCATTAAGTTCAATCGGTAATTCCATTATCATCATTAAGACAATCTAATAACCGTATCTCTCTGGTTTAGAAAATTTTAACAGAACAAAGAACTAAATAATTAACAGTATCTACAACCATTCATCATATATCTAAACACACCAGAGCAATACTCATCCCATACAACTACACCCCTTCCCATACATCATGTATAGCATTAATATAATATTTACATTTCACTATTTTGTGTAAATGCTATCTCTTCATCCAAAAAGAAACATCGTCTATAACATCAATGAGCCAGAAGACATTACAACCCTGCGGTGCACACCTCAAAACACTAAAAAGGCTCTTACAGTTGCAGCAAGTGCAATTTTGTGGTTTTCATTTTTCAAGATGCACTTCATCTAGAGTGCAGTGAACAAAATTCATCCAACCCCATAAATTAACCTCCCACCATGTGTCACAATTCAGTGGCAAGCTTCACTAGATCTGAAAGTAGCATACAACTTTCCTCTCTATAAAAGTTTACCTATATTCAAATTAGCACCCTTTATATAAGTTTAAATATAAAAGTTATTAACAGTCATTAACAACCCCCCTTCCCATTTTTATGAACTACTGTACACACAGAAATCACAATAGCGTGATGCATCAAATGAACACGTCCACAAGGACCGTGACAAGGATTCGAACCTACGTCCGAGAGCATAACAGACGCTGCCTTAATCGACTGAGCTACGACATGGTTAAAAGTGTCTCAGAGGCTGCAGGATTCAAGTAAGTTCGAACTTTTGGTTGCAATTAGTTTAACCATGTCGTAGCTCAGTCAATTAAGGCCGCATCTGGGATGCTCTCGGACGTAGGTTCGAATCCTCGTCACGGCCCTTGTGGATTTGTTCATGAACTACTGAATATTCAAAAAGATAATGGTTATCAAAATATCCACACCCAAACACTTTGAAAAATATAAATTTATAGAAAGAAAATCTATTGGAATAAAAAGTAGTGAAAACTGACCTTACTCATGTCAAAGAAATCCTCTTCTATTGTACATCACAACTGTCCTGAAAGACATAAGCACCAATTAAAAACATTATCCTCAATTTTCACAATTATTAGAAACTCTTACATGTGTAAAATCAGTATTATAAACTAATCAGGAATCATTGGATTGACAGATTAAGTATAATCATCATACAATTGCAAGACCACAAACAACTCGGGCTCTACAAATTTTAATTTTAAATTGGGAATATGCAGGTTAAATACACTAACAGCTACTTGATTAATGCCTAGGAAGAAAAATACAGTAAAAAAATAAGTGTTAAATCTTGGTGCAGCTATAGTAAATCTTTCTAGACACCACTTAATAGCACTTGAGAAGGAAAACCGATAAATAAATCAGACTTACCAGCACAAAGTAGGCCTATTGCTTTCTCATCTTCAGACACTCCTGTAAAACAGAAAATATAAATCTCTGCTTCCATAAAGACCAATAAATTACTGGTCATTTATTATCAGACAAAAATAACAGCCATATATGTGGTTTCATAAAGTTCAATCGGTAATTCCATTATCATCATTGTCAACAAAATTTGAAAAGCTATCAAAGCCAAATTAAAAATTATTCCTTAACCAAGCAAAGCCAAATTAAATTATGGGCATGACCAAATTATTAAATTATTTTGAAGCATTGGGAAAGCTTAATGCTCCCCCAATTCACAATTTTACAGGCAAGATATCAAGGCAAGTTGAGAGGTGGTGACACCAAGTTAGCACTAGTGGGATTTGAGGTTTAGAAAACACTCAAATTGATAAGGAAAACTCATTAATAGTTAGACTTACCAGCACAAAGTAGGCCTATTGCTTTCTCAGCTTCAGACACTCCTGTAAAACAGAAACCAATATAAATCTCTGCTTCCATAAAGACCAATAAATTACTGGTTATTTATTATCAGACAAAAATAACAGCCATATATGTGGTTTCATTACGTTCAATCGGTAATTCCATTATCATCATTAGGACACTAAGAACCTTATCTCTCTGGTTTAGAAAAGTTTAAGACCAAAGAACTAAATAATTAACAATATCTACAACCATTCACCATATATCTAAACACATCAATGCTATATTTGCCCCATATAACTACACCCCTTCCCATACATCAGGTATAGCATTAATATAATATTTACATCTCGCTATTGTGTAAATGCTATCTTCTCACCCAAAAAGAAACATCGTCTACAACATCTATGGCATTAATGAGCCAGAAGACATTACAACCCTGTCATGCACACCTCAAAACACTAAAAGGCTCTTACAATTTCCCCAAGTACTCATTCATCTAGAGTGCAGTGAATAAAATTCATCCAACCCCATAAACCTCACACCATGTTTCACAATGCGATCTAGGTGAAGCAGCATGCTTCACCTAGATCTGAAAGCAGCATACAACTTTCCTCCCTATAATAATTTGTTACCTATATTCAAATTTGCACCCTCTAATAACTTTCACAGATATTAAAACATTCTGTAGCAGTTATTCACAACCACTTTTCACATTTTTATGTACTATATTCACGACCAAAATTGTTCTCAAAATATCCACACCAAAACAATTCGAAAAATTAAAAATTTAAATTAAGGAAATGTATTGAAATAAAAAGAGAAAACTGACCTTAATCTTGTCAAAGAAATCCTCTTCCATTGTACATCACAACTGTCCTGAAATACAGAAGCACCAATTAAAAACAGGATCTTAAATTTTCACAATTATTAGAAACTCTTACATGTGTAAAATCAGTATTATAAACTAATCAGGAATCATTGGATTGACAGATTAAGTATAATCATCATACAATTGCAAGACCAGAAACAACTCAGGCTCTACAAATTCTAATTTTAAAATTGGGAATACACAGGTTAAATACACTAACAGCTACTTTATTAATGCCTAGGATGAAAAATACCCCTGCAAGTCTTGTCACTCTGAATTACTGTACAGTAAATGAAAATGGGTTCAATTACTGTGAATCATGGAAGGCAGAAGTAAGAAAATGTATTTATAAATTGCCAAACTTTTTCACTAAAAGAATTTACAGTACTAGTAGTTATAATACTTTTGAACCTAACCGATATAACCAACTATGCTTAACCCTTAACATGCAGTCATTTCTTGATTGTCAGGGCCACTGCTGTTGCCATCTGACCATTATTGTTATTACTGCATTGTTTATATACCAAGCAGCATGTAAACAGAAATTCAGAATTGTTATTTGGAGAGTTATGTTCACTAGTGGCCTGGGGTTATCAACAAACCAGTTTTTGATGATAATTTTAATGACCATTTTGAGGATTAAGCGATACATAGAAACCATACGAATCCCATTATATATTTTAGACAAAAAACTGCCAGAACTTACATTATCAAAGCGAATCATCATCACAAGGTCTCAACTGTTAAAAAGATAGAAAAATACAAACTTAGAAAAGCTTACTCATATGCCATAAACATGGCAATAAATACTTACCTCAGTATTATTAGCTAATCAGGAATCATTGGATTGACAGATTATATATAATCATCATACAATTAAAATGTAAAAATGAAGGAAATGGTGCAAAATGAATGTGAAAAGATACCAAAATTTCCTAAAAGCCTTGTGCTTACTTTATGAAACTGATGAATCTGCATAAAAATCCCAGCCTTCTGGAAAATAATACACTAACATTAGATTATACTTGGACAACTGAAACACCTTTTATATCTTTCTATATACTGTACAATAATACTTTCTGCCAATTCAGACATTTCCTACTATTAAATGTAAATTGTAATCATTTCAAATGTATTTTAATTAATACTTCATTAAATTACATTTTTTTGTTAATTTAAATTTAAAGAAATTATTTAAATGTGGATTTTTTTTAATTTAGTAAAAAAATATACATAAAAAAGTAGCTTTTGATAGATTTATATTACTGTAGTTTAAGTTATAAAATATATTAGAACCTGGCAAAAATTTGAGATGAAGCAACTAGAATTTTATCTAGTATTAAATGTTTCTTATCAGAAACCTTAAATGAGTATCTGATAAAATCTAATCCTGAGTATTAACAAATAGCCAGTGCGCTTTAGTACTCACCAAGTTTGTACAGGTTATCAAGAGCTGTAAACAAATTAATGTATTAATCAAGACCCTAATGCTACACCCTGAGAATGTATAAATTTGTATAAAATTACTTATAATGCCTCATTTTAAGCATAAACACCTTTCATTCAGGTAGTGAGAACACAATTGTCAAATTTGCCCATGGTTCAAATCCAGGTCAATTTGTTTACAAATTAAAGGTGAAGGTGAAAAAATCCGATGCACTTATACTATAGGCCATTGTATAATAAAAGCCACCGACATGATTCTACATTAAAATTTATCTTTACATCAAATAGCATAACATTTAACAAAAGACATTCACTGAGGGTAAGAAAAAATCAAGAACATTCGCAGCTTCCATTTATTGATTAACGACGACCACCATGTCCGCCATGACCTGGTCGACCAGCCCGGGGCATCTTTGGAGCCTTTTGCGTAGCTTTCTTTGCCTGTTGGGAGAAATTCAAGGCACTAAGACGTTAAGTAAACAAGATTGTATTAATATATGTACCAATCAAAACATTGGCAAAGGTAGCAGATCATGGCAATTTATCTATGCTGCCATATAATGAATGGTACACAATTTTGTTACATTTATGGGTTCCAACTAGCTGTTGGCCTCAGGTGCCATTTAAATTATATTTCCTTTATTTTTTTACCCCTTTAAACTGGATACATGTGGCTTCCACTACTAACACTCGCCATAACACCATGTCATGGAGTGTGGCTTAAAACTGTATCTTGCTCCCTAAAAGACAATGGCTGTCCACTGTCTTCCTTAAATTATCTTGAATGCAGCCTACTTACATTACTCACTTTTTACACCATTACCTCTAGACAAATTTACCATAAAAAAACATCATTCAACTGGTTAATATTTAAGGTAACAGTATTCATAAACACATACCTTGCCAGGAGCTGGAGCATTAGCCTTCTTATTGGCCTTCGCTGCTTTGGTCTTCTCCTTTGCTGTTCTGAAAGTTAATAATCAATTTGATAAAAAATTTAACCACAGCTAACCCATTTATAGCATAATAAATTCAAGATCTCTTTCAACATATAGAACAAAATGTGTAAACATACCTGATAGCTTGTTCTCGCTGGGCCTTGCGAACCTCAGGCTTCATGTTTCTGTGAAAATTATAATCAAATAATGAAATCAATGTATCATGCAAGTTTAGAATATTAGCATACATTTAGCAATCCAGCATTTTAAATGTTATGGATTTAAATTTTAAAATGTTAGGGAGATGACTGGATTTTGAAAAACTAGATAAGCCAGGTAACTGATGAATAAACCTAGTGTTGAATGTAATGAAAAGCCTCTTTCTGGCAGAGCCCTGGTGGCACCCTGTTGCTATCTTGCCAAAATTGCTCCAATCTACTAGTCACCAATTCATTTGACATACTAGGCACCAGAGCCAAAACCTGGCTACTTCACAAGGTACAAAAAGAATTACATTCAACCTTTTCACTGGAAATGCATTAGAAACTGGAAATTACAGACAACTGCTGGATTCTCAAGCTTCAAAAACAACTAAAGTACAAAATAACTCCAAATGATACAAAATATAGAAAAATAAAAAAATCTAGCTAGAACCCAATACAGTACTTCCAAACCCCACCACCAGGTAGCCCATGGTCCAGTCAGCCTACAAATCAATTAAGGAACAGATAATGCCAATGAAACGATAAGCATGGAGGCGTGGAGCCACCAGGGCCCCACCAGAAAGAGGTCGTTCATTACATCCAACGTTGGGAGAGCAGCGTTTGATGTAATTAACTGCCTTGGCCATGCCCATCTTAACTTCACTGCTATCTGCGGGCAACAGATCTGTAAGAGCTGGGCCAAAGGCTACCAACAACTCCAGAAGAGACCTAGCCAGGCCGAATCTAAAATGGAACCAACTGGGACTTACACAGGTCACCAGAAACCCGATCCTGGTGAGCTGGGAAAGAATCAAACCCCTGGCTAGCTTGACAAGGACCAATTGGGAGCCTAAACCAGCCAGTAGTCGAGAGCCAAAAACTCGAACCCTCACGATACATGGTAGTCATGCCTCGCACTAATATGGAGAAAAAACAGATTCAGGCAGAAAGGCAGTGCCTGAAAGCTTCAACTCCTCAAGCTCAGCCAGAGGCCAGGCTTGACTTGAAAGAGACCAACAATTTTAAGTCCAACAGACTGTTGGTTGGAGCGGCCCGCAGGCTCACATGATGCAAGTATCCTGGAGATACCTAGACACCATCTAAGCCCCTGGTTGAAAAACTTGACAAGCGACAAGCTTTGAAAAAAGTGGTCATGCAGAAGGATTGTGAACTGTGTAAACAAATGACAGTTATAACCAGCACCTGCTCGTTTGCTCCACCCTTCCCCTCATTTTAGGGAAGGAGGGGGGCAAGCCAAGGCTTACAGGTCGCTCCACCGTCAGTTCGACGAATGATGCAAGAACCAAACTCCCCGAGGGAGGGTGTCAAGAGCCACTGGTGCTCACCTAGAATTAGAGTTTCATTACATTCAGTGCTGATTTTCTGGGGAAGCCCCTTACGGCGCCCTGAAGCTAACTACCCACAAAAGGATGAGCACACACCAGAGAGAGCACTGCAGGAATCAAAGACAGACTGCTGGACAAGAAAGCAGACCCACAAACATACAGGGGTAATGAACACTTCAAACCTGGGATCCCCAACAGCCTGGATGACCCCCAAAACACCCATGCCCTATTCAGTCGGAACAGGCAGACAAGGACTGCTGAAAACTTGGTTTCAATAGTTTCCTTGCAGGCAAACAAGGAAACACTGTAAACAACTGCTGGAATAGGGGATCAAGGAGACCAGAGCAACCCATAAGGCAGCCATCAAGGCAGACCTGGTGGCATAGTCTAAGCAAACTTTCATTAGGTAACCAAACCTAGCCTTTTCAATACACAATTCAGAAGTGATCTTCTAGCCATTTTCAAAATATTTCTGATACCTTCACTAAAAGGTTGAATGTATAATAAAAAATGGAGAAAATACAATTAACTGAAAATTACTTTAAAAATGCTCCATGGAATAAAACCACATCTAAATACCTCTTGGCCATAATGTCTGTAAGAGAGGCTCCTACAATAGCACGATGGTATTTCTGGGCACGGCGAGTACGCTTCTTTGTAGTCTCTTCTTCCATACCCTTCTTGTGCTTTCGCCTAGAAAGAAAACACAGCAATTATTACTAGAAACAATGAAAATTTACAAAGTAGTAAGGCTGATAATGCAAGCTAAATGTGTACTAGAAAATAAACAGCCACAATGTCCATAAACCAATTAAACTAACAAAGGCATCAACAGTAGCACAACAAACTTAAGGCAAGAGGTTAGCCATGTGGCTGGTAGATGAATGATTAAGTCATTACCAATCTAAAGCTTAATCTAGCAGCAGTAGACCTTTATATCATCCTTTACATTTCCTCCCTTCTTTATCTCTAAACCAAGACTACTACTAGGCCTATTACTAATCCACAGAAGAGTACTGTGAAAGCATTATTAGCCGACCTCTTATCTTGCCAGTAGATTTATAAATGCTTTAAACAAAATCATAATACAGTAAATTTATTGAACACCAACCTGTATAAAATAGTCCATCGAATCTCACGGGGATTTCGCTTCATCATGTGTGCCCGCTCACATTTGGCACTGAGGAACACGTACACCTGAAGGAAAAATTAATTATGGTTATACAGTATATAAAAAATCCAATTTGAATCAATTTAAATCAAATCAAACCAGTCTTACTGCAGCATGCAAACTTATTTATACCCATTGTTTTGTGTTGATACTTTGAATACTATCAATTTCCCTTTTGTGTCCATTCATCCACTCGTATACCTCATGGCACCCCTAATTCTTCGCCTTTCTAAAGAACTTTTCTAGTTATCCAATTTTTTTTTATAGTGTATATAAATTGGATATATGTGAAAGAGGGATAAGATTTTGCTGCCAAATTTTTGTTTCAAGATTTCTCATTTCTGAAATGCTTACAGAATTACGGACCAATTTAAGTGTCAACACTTTCAGCCTCACGGCGAAGGTAAAAAAATAAGCAGTATGTGCTCACGGCGTTTTGCCGCGTAAGCGTAAAAACAAAAATGTGTATACTCTTTTTACTCTCCTGACCTTAGTTCTCGAGCTACGCATTTCATTTTGGTACCAACGTGTTAACAATAAAATTCTCTAGAACATCAGTAAAAAAAGTCACGAAACGTATAGGGATACCAGCACCAAATAAATAACTACGAAGATGACTCGCCATGAGCGCCCAACAGCAACAAAATGTTTTTACTCTTGGGATTGTTATCACCTCCACACTTGTCTTACAGCGTTAATTTTGGTATCAATGGACTCGCAATGAAATTCCCAACACGATGATATGAATATAAGCGTAGAATAATGATTGCGGCCCGCCCGCAAAAGAGTGGGAAGTGGTGAAATTGTTACCCGGTATCGGTGACGGGACGACACACGGCGCTTTGAAAGTTTATACTTATTTCACTCATGACATTATTATTCTATGTACGTCATTCATTTTTGTGTCAATGTGTTCGCAATAGAATGTTCTATGAGCCCGTAGGTAAAGAAGATCAACAAAGCGTAAGATAGAATAGCGCCAAATATAAAACAACGCTGGAACATGTCAGTGAGAGTCAAACGCACACGAAATGTTTTTACTTTTGTTATGTTTGTGAACCTTTCATGAACTTATTGTAAAAAGAAGCCTATTGGTGAGAGAGCCTCATGGCGCGCAGTTTGAAACAAACCCAAAGTAAATCAGATAAAAATTGAATTTTATACAAATATTTTAAAAGAGGACAAATTTATGTCCACTATGCGGGAGCAGGTAGGCGAAACAGGACGCCGCGAGGAGTCCTCATCCTCAGAAAGTGTTAACTCACTGATTTCAATTTAGTATTAAATGTTCTTTTAACATCAGTAATATCACTAAAAAATAATTTGAGGGATTATATATGTCATTTGAACTTCAAAATGCTGTTGTTATCTCTCGCATATCACCATTTGGCAATTTTAATTGGCCAGTTTTTACATCCCTGCTTAAAATGTTATAATTGTTCTATATGGATATAAAGGAGTAAACAAATATTTTGTAATTGCTTACTATGCAATGAGTTAATTATGCATTTGGGGGGGTGTTCCGATATTGCCAAATCACTATCTGGAATATCCCAGTTAGCTGACATGCAATACAGTACCAAAAACAGATAAGTGAAATAACTCAAAAAAAAAAAAACCCACAGTTAACAAGTCTCTCATACAAAGATGTGGAAAGAGAACATGCCACCTGCTTATACATCAGACTACTCTGCTAGATGAACAGGACCTCTACAAATTATTCTACATTTGTGATGACGACAACAGTCTCCTTGAATTTACTTCTGGAACCTGGGAACCAACTACAGTACTGTATTTTGAGTTTAAGCCAAAGTGTTCCTGGCAGTGATGGAGTATTGGCCACAGTGTATAGTTACTATCTAAACAAATCCAGTACAATTAATGTTTTTGTTTGGTACTGACAGAAAGGTATATGCATATGTCTTTGAAGAAACTGGTCATTTCTGCAGACAATATGCAACTACAGGTACTAGGCACTGGAGGATGAATGTTTGAAATTTAGTACAACTCAATCTATCAAGAAATAATGATATTGTCAGGGATTCAGATTAAGGGGCAGGGTGCTTTAACCCTTTAACAGTGCAGATTGTATGTGTACAATTTTGGTCTAACGGCCTGCACATAAGTACCGCGTAAGATACTTCAGTAAGATAAGCTTCCTCAGGTATCCAGTAAACAGACGCTATTTAAAAAGAAAATCATGGGCAACATTCCTGGGTGTAAAGGCCTCTGTACTGAGTGAGCAGCAAAGGCTGACGTATGCAGCATGAGCTAACAGTATGTTGAACAGACCACACACTAGAAGGTGAAGGGACGACGACGTTTCAGTCCGTCCTGGACCAATCAACTTGAGAATGGTCCAGGACAGACCGAAACGTCGACATCCCGTCACCTTCTAGTGTGTGGTCTGGTCAACATTAGCTATGTTATTGCGACTCATTGCCTGCATGAGCTAACGGCACTGTTGTTCAGCTGGTGACCACGGCTTTGCCTAAAAATGTCAAAATATATGTGTAACTGCTACTAATTACTACTGTCATGTGAATCCCCTGCAATGCAGTGTATTCTCCCTTCACCTTCAATGCCTCTGCACTGGAAGTCTACATCTACATCAGCCCAGATGAGTCAGTTATCCTCTCCGTACCCCCCAGGGCCTGGCACGGCCTGGTACGACTCAAGAGGCAAGCCGGGCGCCTCTGCTAACCGGTAGTTTGCCCCCCACAAACAAGCAGTTAGCCACCTTCAACTGGCAGTGGTGCAGCTCAACACAAAGGCACCATCAGCCACAAACGAGCAGTTTGCTAGTCGACCAGATGTCCACCTAGCATTGACACTGGACGAGTCATCACTGGACTATATAAAGGGTGCTGCCTCCCTGGAGAGCCAGTCTCCCTTAGTGCTCTTGGATCACCTTCATGTCTCACCCGTCATCCGCCTTCAGCCAACGCTGTGACTGATGCCATGGTGGTATGGTAGCTGTCTTCAGTACACCAGTATGTCTTTATACTTTTATTCATTGCCTATAGTTTATTTAAGGTCATACTAACTTGTTCATCCTTGCATTACATGATAGCCAAGTATTGTCATGTGTCATTTTTGTTCCATTACTATTTCAGTAAATTGTTTAATTATTTATATGATGATTTTCATTTGTTTCCACCTGCGACACACACTGCAAGGCCAATAGCAGCATTTTTTTTTTATTTGTGAGGGAGAGCCATACCATCTTGGTTCAGTATAGCTGCGATACCACAACCTATCACACTACTGATTACAAAAGAACCTGACTTGTGATAAAGACTGTACAATGTTCAGCTATCAGTGAACACAATGCTGTTCAAGACTTTACAGCTCTAGCCACAGCTAGCGCTATGAACATGGGGCAAGTATGTGGAAGTAATTTAATAAGTTTACCTTGCCCATGAAAAAAATTCTGCTACCATTTCATGGTACAAATGTGGTTATAATCATGAATGTTACTAGGTGAATGCAGTCATCATATGATGATTTAAACAATTATTGTCTTGGTTTTACATAAATGATGCAAATATGGACAAAAATGATGTAAAAAAACAAAATGATAAAACAGGAAGCATCAACACAGTGGAGCACCAGGCGTTAAGTGCCAGGCGTTAAGTGCCAGACGCAGCTCCTCAGAGCCCCTCCACCCACTGAAAAGATATTCACTTATTTTTGTGTTTTTCTTAATTCTGCATACAAATTCATTCTATAATGAAGAATTATTTGTTGGAACTTTCATATTTATTTTGTGCACAGGCGGAATGACCATAGCTCCATGGTCAGGTAAGTGGCTCCATAGCCACTGTAAGGGTTAAGTAGCCCCTCACTCACCCGCACCTTTGTAACCCTGTAAGCGTAACACCATAATTTTTAGTCGTGTGGTCTAGTGGTTAAAGAACCAGGTACGCCATGGTGCATAGAGCTCCTGGATGTCTGGGTTCAAATCCTTCTGGAGGTGTAGAATTTTCAGTTGCATATTGGTTTGGGGACCATTCAAGCTTGTTCTCATTTGTATGATTTGTAGACGGTTGGAACAAGTTATGTAAGACGGAGGAGGCCAAAACCGTCAGTAGTTTTAATGCGTTATGACAGTGGTGGGAAGACAGGACACCACGAGCGTAGCTCTCATCCTGTAACTAAATTTAGGTAACTACACTAAGGTACTTACCAAGAACCTGGTTTGTGTATCTTAGCAGCATGCTGCTATCTATACCACCATGTCCACTCCTTCACTACAGTATTGGGGGCTCCTCACGCTGCTATAATCTATTACATACTCCTGTACAACCCGTGAACCAATCTAATGGCTAAATGCTCTTTATAGTGTCCATATAGGTACTCACCAGGTCACCCCCCCCCCCATGTTGCCTCACTCTGGACTCACGTGTGTTAACACTAGTAAATATGTGCCTTATACCAATAATGTATTTTGAATTTTAATCTAGCAAGTTGTGAATTGCTGGTATATGTATAATGTTACATACAGTATAAAATATATTGTTTATGTCCAAAAACACTCAACGTCATCGACATACATGTTTCACCAAACTGTTTTTAATACTGTCTGGCCACAAAGCCCTGTTTGGCATACATTTTTGGCATGTATAATGCTGCCCTGTGTAGTGTGTGGCGACACACGAGGTGTGGGCCCCACACACCCTCCCAACACAAGACTAGTGTTGCTCACCTTGCCATCCGTCCGCACCATGGTCTTGCCATGGCCGGGCTGGATTTTGTAGCCACTGAAGTTGCACAGTTGAAGCCTGAAAATAAGGAAAAATTCATCATGGGCGATGATCTTGAGGCAGGAGAGGAGGGTATAGACAAGTATGGGAGGAGGAGGAGGCAAGGATGACTGGGATATAGGAGGACGCGGACGACACTCACTTCATGGCGGCGGCCACAACACAAGGACCCGGCCAGCCCTCCCTCTCCTCACCAAAACACTCACTTTCGTATTAATTACTCACTAACAAATATATCTATATTACGTTCAATTTATTATTATTTATATTGTAAATTATTTTCATTGCATATTTTTATAATAAAATTATATTTAAATGCGTTTTAAGAAATCTGTTTAAATCAAAATATATCATCGATTTCTTACGAGAGTCGATCAAAACATTGGCGCTCAAATATGGCCTCCTCAGGTATGTGCTATTTTAGCCAATATAGGAAATTTGCGGGAAATGTCAACCCCACGACCTCTTGACTCTGCTTGTTCACATCTGTGTTTGAACAATAAAGACTAGTTATTGTTTTCATGCTAGCGAAATGGAAGGACTGAGAGGAAGAATGGTGTAGTTCAAGATTATTATAGACTTGTCATTTACTGTGGACTCACACTGGCAGGTTTAGCCCTGCTCGCTCCTCAAATGGATGACCAAGGCAGAGGTTGGTGAACTCTTAAGCATTGTGGCATAATAGTGTGGATGGTGACGTGTCGTGTGTGTAATGGGCGTGTGTCACGGTGGGAAAAATGGGGAGTGTCAATGGGGGGTGAAGTTTGACACTTGTTATTACTATTGATTAACAGACCAATTAGCTGCATGTTAGAGCCTCGGCAGGTTGAGCTGAGGGCTTGTGCTTGTCCTCTATGGATCACCAGGTCACCGTCTGCTACTAAATATACTTTTGAAATTATTTATATTTATATCACAATATTTAAAAAGTGATTCATAGCACTTTACACAATTATTAGCATGATCATTTGTTTGGCACCTTGAAACAATATTGATTGATTAGCCAGCAGTTATGTTTGTACACTAGTTGTTATTGCATCACATGCTGTCATGTGGCATATTATGACACATTATAGTGGGTTAAAATGTTTGGTTCTGAAGAAGTTATAATGTTTGGTAATTTGAACAACATATTTATAACTAGATATTTATCCTTCTTTTTTGACTACATCAAGTGCTGTATATTCAAATTATTCTGTAGCTAGAGCACGTATCAAATGTGATATGAAGGGGCTCTTGTGAGCAAAACACATCCACAGTAAACCTTATGTTCCCATAGGGAACAACTGCACATTGTTATTGATGCTGCACATTGTACGAAGCTGCACATTGTTATCAACAATGTGCAGCTTGTTCCACGGTTACGTACATGATTTGTGATTATAAGCAGGGATTTTTGAATGGAATGATTTGTGAAACTAATGACATCAGCTTTATATTTTATTGCCATAATATGCAGTTAATTAATTGTGTTGTTTTATTTGCTTCAGGAGAGGAAAAAGATGAGGGACAAGATGACACAGGTAAGATGTGGCACAAGACTGTGCTGTAGTAGAGAGTTCACTGCACCATTACATGTAGGTTGGAATATTTGTGCTAAGTCTTGTTGTACATTGTACATGTACTAACAATTGCTGATGAATTCAGCTTTTATCTTGATAAATATCCTTAATTTTACAAAATTCCTGTTTTTTATAGGAAATTTTCTATACAGTATGCTGTTTTAAAAAGACTTATCAAAATCTTATCTGTAATACATTATAGCATTGTCAAATTTCTAGGAATAGTTGAGCACAGCTGTTGTTTTCAGAATGAACATATTGTTCATCTAGATTTGATATCTAACAATTAATTTTGTTGTTGATTGTCTGCTAACTTCACTACTTGCTTTGAGAAAGAAATGCAGTTGGTTGCTGAGCACGTTTTCTTCCGTGATGAGTGTGAAAACTGATCTGTGTCCAGGTGCCTGCAAAGAGAGTTTTGAGATTCTGTAATGTTTTTTGCCGAATATGTGGCTTACCAAATAGGAGTTTAGATTTGGTATGTTCAGGTCATCCTCAACTACCTATCCTACTTACCCAGAAACCACCATCAAACTCGTAGACCTACATCTTGCCCCTATTTCTGAAAAAAAAGATTGCGTAATGTACAGCATTTTATTATGTACTGTACACTGAGATGTGTTGTGTAAAAGTTATATAATGATTAAACATGTTGGAGTCAGTTTTCAAGCTTGGAAATATTTTTTCTGGGGGGAGCTCCTTGTGGTTTCCTAAAGCTGCTGTATATTATATACTGATATAGTACTATCTACTAGGTCGCATCAGCCATAAAGTTCTATATGATTAATTAATGGGGACCAGCGCAAAACCTGGTCCACTCAGAGAGGCACAGGAAGCAGTGACATTTCCATGAAAAAAAAAATGACGGGATCGGTGTCCAAAGTCAGCGATAGTGTTAAATACGACATATTATTTTACAAATTATATCATCAAATGATAAAACATAATTCCAATTGCATATGACCTTAGTCAAAGATGCATTTGCTAGCAGAATTACCTGTTATCTTGAGATTCTTGAGGTTTTCTTTAGATGACTTAGCGTCTCCGTGGCCTGGTCCTCGACCAGGCCTCCTTTTTGTTACACGCCCCCAGGAAGCAGCCCATAGCAGCTGTGTAATTCCCAGGTACCTATTTACTGCTAGGTAACAGGAGCATCAGGGTAAAAGAAACTCTGCCCATTTGTTTCCGTCTCCACCGGGGATCCAACCCGGAACCTCAGGACTATGAATCTGAAGCACTGTCCCTGTGGCTTGAGTTGCTGAACTACCTGTGGCGTGAGTCACAGGTTCTTTAACAGACAGGATATTTGACTCAAGTCAAAGATATTCTTGTTTGCAAGACTGTTTTTGATCTAAATGACAGATGCTGTTTTGGGCATAATTACACACTACTTTAGTAAGCAGTGTGCATTCCTATCTCTTTGCTCTTAATGAGACAAAGGGTAATACAGTACATACTTTGAAAGCATGTTGATAAAGTAATTATATTTCACCATTAGGAGTAACATACCTGGTATTACATATACTGTAAGCAATTTTCATGCAAGAGAATTCTTTAAGTTGTATGCTTTGATTTAAACTTTGTAAGAAATGTTGATTTATTGCTTTCCCAGCAGTTGTGTATGACTCTGAAATTGTGCTTGACCTGTGTGGCAGAAGACTGAAAAGATTGGAAAAAGCACCAGCCAACCAAGCCTATGCTACTGCCCTTGTCTTAGATAACAACTCTTTACAAAACCTTGCCAATCTTGACAGCTATGGTGAACTTGAAAGGGTAAGATGAAACCATTCTCTTTTTTTTTTACCTGTTATTTGTAACTCACATTGTGTAAGGGTTGAGAGTCAAGTACTAATAGTCTCTCTTGATTTTGTAATCAAATTGTTGTTGTTTTGCTTCGTCATCATCATTATTCACTATTATTGTGTGTGCAACTATCAAATTGTAGTTACAGGAGAAGGGCTAAGTTCAAGGTTCCCATCGTCGTTATACTGTTTTGTCACACAAAGTTTTAAAACATGTAATGGTGTTGACACACATACTACACTCTCTTGCAGTTTATCACATTTGTCAACTTCCCTGTTCGTAAAAGCATGTCCAGTATTTTTGTTAACCTGCGTTTCTTTCATTCTTAGTGCTGCAGGTCCAATCTTGAATTGTTTTATTTTTGGGAACCAATAAGTTGTTTTTAACTTTTTTGAGCTTATCTAGCGTATCTATATGTTTTTTTTTTAAATAAGGGCACCAATAACAATCCAGAGTTTAGTATAAGGAAATGCATCTCTGGAGGGTGTTGCCCTCAGTAGCTCCCAGAGTTACACACTGGTATATGTTACTTGTCAAAGCCTCGTTATAATACCAGACTCTATTGATTCATAAGCATCTACCACAGACTTGTTTCAGAATCTTTTCCCCTCAATAGAGGGAAGGGAAGTCTGGGAGGGGGTCTAAGACCACCACAGTAATCAAGAGGAAGACCACCAGAAAGGTAGAGCACACCAAATCAAATATCTGCTTGGATCACATTATCAGTGCTTTCCCTTACTATGTAAACAATCATTAACTGGGCCAAATCTCTAGTTTATCACATCTGATTATCACCATGTGGCAACCTGAGCCACCAACAGTACAGATCTCCTATCCCATCACGACAATGCACAGCCCTCGAACCTACAGGATAAAGGAACTGGGACAAAGATGGAGATGAACCTCCAACTAGAGAAACCAAACAACAAAGACTGCAGCACCCAACTAAATGGCAAAGACCCAATGTCCCATCAGACCAGATGAAGGAGGCAGAATTTGAAGGGATCATAAGCTGTGCAGAACTTAAGTAGAAGAGATGGGGATTCTCAAAAATGAGGAGCCCTGAAAAAACAAGTTTTCACTGGTTAATTCCAGTGAAAGGGGCCGACTGACACCACCCTGAAAGAGCTAAGAACCACTGGATAGCATCCAGGGCGGAGCCAGATCGTCAAGTCCCCTGGAAGATAAATGCTCATCATCACAACCAAACCACAGTGGAGTTCCACTGCAGACAAGTGGCCAAAGACAACAACCAGCATGATGACAACTTGCTGTGCACCACTTGGGCACCTCCAGCATGTCATGTGACCACACGTCATGTTCTCATGGGTCAGTCATGCATGCAAGCACACAGTCACCTTACTTTCAAACATCCAGGGGATGTTTGGAAGAGCTAATCCAGGGGATTAGCTCAGTCGATTAAGGCAGCGTCTGAGATCCTCGCGGACGTAGGTTCGAACCCTCGTCACGGCCCCTGTAGATTTGTTCATCCAGGGGACTCGCCATCAGCATCTTTCCCAAATCTTGGCATGAATCTCTGCAACAGCACTCTCCACCTGCCATGTTTGATCACTGACTAGGCTTCTCTCTTCTGTAGAAACTCAAAAATTAAAATAATACAAATTTTAGGCTCCCTGCCTCCTTATAAACATTGTAAAAATGAATCTGGGGCCATCATACATTTTTACATATGGGAACCAGAAGTTGAAGGGGCGACGACGTTTCGGTCCGTCCTGGACCATTCTCAAGTCGATTGTCAATCGACTTGAGAATGGTCCAGGACGGACCGAAACGTCGTCATCCCTTCAACTTCTAGTGTGTGGTCTGGTCAACATACTTCAGCCACGTTATTGTGACTCATCGCCTGCATACATATGGGAGTTTGACTTGACAGGTGGAAGAGGTGTCAGCAGACGGTAGCCATAATAGAAACATCACACATGCCACACAGGATATGTGATCACAAAGTTCAAATTACCGAGTGGAATGAGTAAGGTGGACAGGGTCAGTCTTTTACAAATTAAGGATAATAGGACAAGAGGACACAGTGAAAAGGTATTAAGAACTACTTGAATGCAAAGCAGGTGATAGGCAAGTGAAGTGTACTTAAAGAAGTAGTTGGGGATGCCATCTACATCCAGTCTCAAGAGCAAATATCATGGGAGATAAAAAAACATCAGGTACCATTAGCTAGGAGTACACATGTACTCAGCACAACAGAACGTATAAGTAAATTAATGTGACATAACATCATTGTCTCTTTGCAGCGAATGGATTGGCTGTGCTGCTTTCTTGTCAAAGTTTATATATAAGGGAAACTGCTGAAGCTCTGAATTTTAATAAAATTACCTAAAATATTATTTAAATGGTTATCTTAAATTTGATAAAACCTTTTAGTTTGATGCAATTGAAAGTAAAGAATTTTATCTTTCCCTTTTCTATACAGTTGACACTGGCATGTTAACACAACTCATCTTTGAAAACATTGGGGGATGGTTTTTAAGTGAGACTTGTATTATTTTTTTAATAATAGCATTACAACTTTTCCTTCCTAGCTGTCAATTGCCAACAACCAGGTTGTACGGATGTACTGGTTTGCTCGTATGTACTCGCTACGTGTGCTCAACCTTCCTAATAACAGCATTGTTCAGGTGGAAGGGATGAGGGAGCTCATCCATCTTGTCCACCTCAACTTGGCTGGTAATAAGTTGAAGGTGAGTACACAACTGTAGAATATATATATTGTTTTACATTAGCTTATACCTTTCTTAACCCTTTAGCTGCATACTTACATTTGACCTCATATCCACACGAGTTGTAGTATGTGGGCTGATAGTACTCTAGAATGATATTGTGTTGGTGATGATTGTCTATCTTCACAACTAAAGGGTTAATAATGTCACTGTAACATGTATTGTTTTTAAATATAGTAGTTGATGATCACTGGAATTCTAGGTTGCACATTCACAGGATGCTGTTACTCTTTGTTTATTAACAGTGCTGATTGAGTAAGAATAAAGATACAGTAGTATTTTTTATGTCTTTCTAATACTTGTATATTTTTCTCTCACCCACGCAGACTATTGAGGGGCTAAGTTACAACAGAACGCTGGAGCATTTAAATTTGTCAGGAAATCTTATAACTCATGTCAATGATCTCTCTATGTTGAAGAATCTCAAGGTCAGTTGACAATTCTGCATGTAAGTGATCTTTCTGCACTAAGTGCCTTTTGATGCTTCCATATCCAGTGCCAGGATGGATCCCCCAGGACTCATAATACTTTCCCTCCCACTTGCTCCCATAATTTTTAATCCCTATCATGATGGGGTAACTTTACAAGTGGTCCTGCACTTGCAAAGATGTCTCTTGTGATAAGGATAAAAATCATGGAAGCTGGTGAGTGTTGTAAGTCCTGGGTGAACCATATAGCCTCTGGTTATGAAAGAATCCAAAGAACTGACTCATAAAGAGCATTATTCCTTGGCCAGGTTTGGTTAAGAGTTATGTTCATCCATGTCTGCTGTGTGTATTTTGGTCAGTATTATATTATTACATAATGTTCAATACAACTAAATAGTCTTAACAATTTTGGTTTGATTTAAAAATTTGTAGACGTTGTTATTAACATTAAGAGTCAGAGATGAGTATGATCATTTTGCAGTTATGGGATTAGTAGCTTAGTTAGGGTAAAAAATGCAAGTTGTTGTTGTAGATAAAACTGGCCAAGGACTATGTCTTGTGTCGCTATCTGTTATCATAATATTGCTGTTTACCTCTTCAGCTGTCATTATTAATGCTTTCTTCTAGTAATGACTCATTATGCCTCAGCAGTATTGAAGTAATCATTTTTTCTAGGGAAGTCCCTTGTGGCTCCCTGTAGCTAACATCTCCAGTGTGTGTATTGCCTGAAAGTTGCCATCAGTCTCAGAGTTCTCTGGTCTCCTGGAGACCCAGAGTCAGAACCTGGTCTCCTCACTGAGGTATAGGAAGCAGTCACATTTATCTTTTTATATGCCGCCACCACCATTATCATTACCATCATTATCGGGCTTCCCACTTCAGTTCGGCAGACCACATGGGTATGCCTGTTGACCCTGCCCTCATTATTTGCGAGGTTTAGGGTGTACGTCGTCTGTGCCACCGGGCGATGTTCATTCACCCTGCCTCCGCCTGTTGTCTGTTGGGTCACTGATACCTTTGACCCTGATTTATGTGGGGTGTTCCCATCACTTTTCTCTTCTTCCCAGTCCTCCTGATGACATTTGAGCTTCCCAGGCAGCAAACGCTCTTAGGGGTATATCACAGGGGTATTGTTCACCGAGTTGATCAGGTGCTCGAAGGTGTCCCACCTTCAGAGTTCATTAAAGCATCGGTACAGTAGTACTAATTCTTGGCAGTTGTTTTGCCACTTGTATTGTTGTTCTTTTTAGTTGGAATCTCCTGCCAATACTGTTGCCTTGGATTATGTGGCACTGGTGGAGCCATTGCCACTTGCGTACAGGATCGACACTGTCACCACTCCATTTTGCAAGTTGTTTTGTACTTTGTTTTCCCCCTCTGGCCTGTTCTTGTGCACTGGGCCAGGTGCTTCCCCTTTTCTCTCTCCCATTCATTTTCATGTTCCACATTTTCCCTGGTGGTGGCATATAAAAAAATAAATGCCACTGTTCAGTGAGGAGGCTAGGTTCTGGCTCTGGGTCTTCCATAGGCTAGAGAACTCTGTGACTGATTAGATATTACAGTGGTACCTTTGTTTTGGTAGGTAATCCGTTCCCAGAGATGGTACGAAAACCGAAGAGAATTTTCCCATACGAAATAATGTAAATTGAATTAATCTGTTCCACACCTCCAAAAATATTAACTGAAAATACATTTTATACAGAATAATACTCTTTGGTACCTTATCTTCATGGAGGACTCTTGTTGGTGTGTGGAAGACAGTGAGGAGGGGGGGGGGGAGAGGTTTAGAACAGGAGTCCCCCTTCCATTATAACAGCAGTGATGACATTTATGGGGTACTCTCTCTCTCTCTTATGTTTTGCAGGCATACCACTATGACCTGGTTGTGGCTCACTGCTTGCTTTTCTTACTAAGAATCTGTCTATAGACACTTGTTTTTCCTTACAGTACATAATGTTCAGAAACCAAAAAAGCATGCAAACAATGAAATTCTTCACAAAGAATCCAAGCACGATCATCACTGGGCGGGAGATACTGGTAGCATAAATTGAAGCGCCACGCTCACACTGGACCAGTACATGTATAAACAAACTGCGCCCACCGAGGCAAACTACGACTACCGTATCGAATTTCTCGTAGAAATTTACTATGAGAACCATAAACTACAAGAACAGGGGCATATGAGAACCGAGGTTCCACTGTACTTTTAGGCATTAGACACATCGAAGATGTTTGCTACAGGGAACCACCAGAGTTCACCCAGAAACTGGCATTTTATTACATCCAATGCTAGTTTATTTGCTTCATTTGGTCACCAATTTGCCCGTTTAAATCACTAATTACTGTACAATAAGTCATTACGGATTTTGTTTCATGTAAACCAAATCATAGCAGTCTTAGGTAAATACTGTAGTAGTGTACTGATTGAATACTATGGCATTTATATCATACTTTTTTGCTTTATTTGATAATTTAATGACGTGATTTTAATTTGTCTAGGAGTTGTTTCTCCATCGGAATTTAATAACTACACTCTACCGCTGCAACAAGTATTTACCTCCCAGTCTCATCATCCTCACATTATCAGATAATGCTCTTGTTGATCTCAACGACTTGTCAAATCTCTCGCACTTGAACCACTTGGAGCAGGTCACTATTCTCAATAATCCCTGCCTTGACCCAGTCCAGCCCACAGGTGAGTACAATTTAAAAAATGGATACCAACACATTAAGGTAATAAAAATAATATTTACCCATTATAAATACTGTAATTATATATTTTTCTGGGAGGCCCCCTTCAATAGCTGCCAGAGCTAAGTGCCGGTCCAGTCATTCCTTATAGAAATACACCAGCCTTGTGATGTCTAACTTTGCTTATCAGAACCAGAAGCTGACTATATGAGGCATGAAGTACATGGGGATCAGACATCAGCTCCAAAAGCATAAATGCAACAAAACAAGCCACTGCCTGAAGAAAACTTGGTACCATCAGGGAATAGGGCAAATGACCATTGCTGCAATGTGCTTATCTATTAATGATTGTGAGGAGCAAGATTTTTTGACAATTTTTTTTACAGTAAACTATACTGAAGCCTATAATAATAACTAATAAAACTGAAGATCATATGCTCTCCTGAGAGCATAATAACACCAAATGAACAATTTGTGATACTGTATTTAATATTTTTGATGCTCATTTGAAAATCTGAAATTTTCAATACTTATTTATATAATATTTTTCATTTTCTTGCTTTTCAAGTTATGTTGGGGATAATTTAGACAAAGTTGGAGCATGTGCCTAGTAGATTATGTACCAAAAATTTGAAAGCGTTTGAGCAAGGTGCAAAATTTCATTTCCCGGCCCCTTAACTCTTGCCCCATTCGGGGGTTTGTGTTTCTCCTCTATTCTTCCCCTGGTGAGGAACTGGTCTATGGTTAAGTTTTTATTTGCTTGCAAGGGTCTGGTGTAAGCATATGAAGAGTCATAATAACGTGGCTGAAATATGTTGACCAGACCACACACTAGAAAATGAAGGGACAACGACGTTTCGGTCCGTCCTGGACCATTCTCAAGTCGATTGTCTGGTGTAACTCAATAGGTATGTAGCTAACCAAAGTGAATAGCTACAGGGGAGTCACTAAGGTACCCTCCACAAAGAAGCTTTTAATTACATTCAAAGGTAATGCATTTATTAATGTGTGTATTTGGTCAGACATTTCTATTACATATAGGTACTGTATTCACATATTTTTTTTTTTTTTTTGGCAGATGAGTCTGGAGTCCCTTTTGGGCCCCCTCTGGCCTTCGACTACAGACCTTATGTCATAAACTGGTGCCTTAATCTCAAGGTTCTCGATGGCTACAAGGTCACACCAAAAGAGAGGTTAGTAAGAGCATGTTGAAAATAATTATCGAATTCTCCATTAGGAAGTGATAACCAAAGAATCTGATCTGATATACTTGTAATTTGTAATTTTATATAACATGTAAGTCAAGGTAACAGTTCAGTTGACCTTTATTACTTAGACAACTAATTTATTTTTTCTGCAACATTATTGCATTATTTTTTCTATAAATTGCCAATACTCTTACATAGAATGGATTCCTGCTCAGACTGAACCCAGTGCAGTTCAGATGGAAAATCAGATGCACAGAGAAGATTCTGGTCCAATTGATTTTAACATTTTACTCGTGTTAGATAATGCATCTGGACACCCAGTGATCTTCTTGAGGTTATCTTGAGATGATTTCAGGACTTTTTTAGTGTCCCCGCGGCCCGGTCCTCGACCAGGCCTCCACCCCCAGGAAGCAGCCCGTGACAGCTGACTAACACCCAGGTACCTATTTTACTGCTAGGTAACAGGGGCATAGGGTGAAAGAAACTCTGCCCATTGTTTCTCGCCGGCGCCTGGGATTGAACCCAGGACCACAGGATCACAAGTCCAGTGTGCTGTCCGCTCGGCTGACCGGCTCCCTATCATGTATCGTGTATCATTGGACATAGATCATGATGAAATCATCACTGGGTGAATGATGTGATCATTCTGCCTGAATGGGCATGATCCCATTCTGAGAACACAGTGAACCTTGCTTTTGTGAGAAGCAGAATGATCTGTTCAAGGTGTTTTTCATATACAGTGGTACCTCGGAATGCGAGTGTCCCTGTATGCGAGTTTTTCGGAAGACGAGCAGGATTTACTCCAAAAATATGTCTCGGAAGGCGAGGGTTACCTCGGGACACGAGTTTGTTGATACGTGTACAGGCCGACTGACGCGTGGTGGCATGGCGATTGCGCCTCGGTTTACCAGTGTCTCGTGTCCAGTGACTATCCCACCTGAATTCTTCACAAGGATTTACAGTTTTTTATCGTTTTTTTGGCCATTTGAGCATAAAAGTTGTCATTATATATCTTGCCATTGGTAAGGTTCAACCTAAGAAAATAGCTGTGAGTAGAGGATGTCCCTTCTTGATTAAGAAAATGTGTGAAGTATGGGAAGAACTGCAAAGTTTTGTTGAAAAAACTCACCCAGATAAAGCTGTAGCAGGCCGTTGCATTGACCTTTTAAATGATAATGTGATGTCTTACTACAGACAAGTGTTAAAATGTAGGGAAAAACAAGTGTCATTAGATAAATTCTTAGTAAAACAAGCAAGTCCTAGTGGTATGCAGGCAAAATGTGCCAGAGTGTGCATACCAGTGAAGTCCTCACTGCCTGATGTGATAATGGAAGGGGACTTCCCTTCCAAACAGTAACTCCTCTCTTCCTCCCACCTCCTCACCATCTTCCATACGCCTACAGCATTCAACAGCAAGGTAAGTAACAACTTGAACATAGTTTTGTAGGTTTATTTAGATGAATTAGGTATAAAAATTTAGTTTGATGTGGGGTTTTTGGGGTAGTCAGGAACGGATTAATTCATTTCCCTTTATTTCTTATGGGGAAATTAGCTTCGGAATGCGAGTTTTCGGAATACGAGGCGTCTCCAGGAACCAATTAAACTCTTAAACTGAGGTATGCCTGTACCAGTACAGTACTGTAATCCAAAGCATGATTTATTTTATGTTCTAAGTTGTCAATAAATATACAGTATTTATAATAATCGGAAAACTCCGGGATAGGTGAACATTATATGCAGTGTTGCAGGTGTGACATATTTAACATAAATTATAAAGCAGAGAAGGTAAGCTTCACTAAAGAATGTGAATATGGTTTAATTGTATTTTAGGGAATATTCTTGTTGATGGTGAAATTGAGTGTTGTAAAATATTATGAAAATCTATAACATGCTTGTTATTGTGAGTAACTTTTTTTTCAGCTTAAAAGCAGAGTGGCTGTACTCTCAGGGTAAAGGGCGTGGATATCAGGTAGGAGAACATGCGGCACTAGTCCAGTACCTGTCTGGTGTTTGCCTCGCTGGTGGAGGTTGGGGAGGTGCAGACCTTCCTGACGATGATGATAAGTTGGCCAAAATTCTCCAGCTTGCCAAACAGCATCAACATGATCTCAGACACTCTGTTAATGGGCAAGATGTTAGGTAAGCAACTAGGTTTAGCTAGTAATTGAAATGTGTGGTGGCTAGTATAATGGTTCCTCTAGTTATGCCAGTAATATATCACTTGAAGTGTCATACAGACTTTCACTTCTCTCACGGTTTACCTCTCCATCTTACCCTCTTTGTTACACAATTTGTTATACAATATTCCTCTCACGTACGGTTGGAGTTGGCTTGTTTTATCTGCCATAGATGTGCTCCGTTCCTTTCTACTATCTTTTGTAAGTCCTAAATGCACTAAAACTACAATGCTCAGACATTAGCTTTGCTAAGCGAGTGTTCATAGAAGTTAAAAGGGCAGTCTATTATTTGTATTTCTTTGCCCGTGTAAAACAGTGGCTCAAAAATCATACAGTTGACCTTCACTCTGAATATCTTCACCCATCGGTTAGAGGGAGTGAACATAAACTGCTACACTTACAAATTACTTGGTCATTGTTCATTATGTTTGTCTGGTCACCTTCTTTAAGTATCATTTGTAGCAGCAACCCTTTCTTAAAGCTATTCATTTATTGCATAGAATCAAGAGTTTCATTGCCATACTGCGTGTACTTTATTCTTCCCCCACCATACTTTCTACATGACCATAGCTTATCAACAGGCTCATTCTGTTGTCTCACTTCCTCTGTTTCATGCTTTACTTACATTTTCTATTCCTTAACTTTAGTTTTATTTTCTCTGAATTATAGGTACATTATAAAAATTACCTAGTACTATATTAATCTCCTGGGTACAGTCACTGACCCTCAGTGACTTAAACTAATTTTGACGTCTTATATTCAGCTGCTCTCGCAAGTAACATCCCTGTCATTGGACATAGATCGTGTACAGTTAAGCAGAGAAATACACAGCTCGGTACACCTGGGAATTTCCAAGCATCTTTGCAGGGTTATATATGGGGTGAGAATCACTGGAGAAATGAATAAATTCAGCTAAAAAGAAAACCTCATGAATTAATTTATAAATATTCAGTGCCCTTCCAAAGCCTCACTTGGCATCACAGGTGATTGTAAAATGAGGTCTAACAAACTACCAGCTGGGCTGCCTAGTCACCCCTACTGACCACCAGCAGGGTTGCAGCAGCACCTTACCCATCCTAGGGTCTGTTGACCCGAGCCAGTCCACATGATCCCGGACTGTTGTCCAGTGAGCAAGCTGGCTTTGGTTTTCAATTGTCTTGATTTTCATCTTAAAGCATTGTTTCTTGTATGGTGGGTGGGTAAAATTTATTTTGTCTATGGTCCATTAGTAAAGAGTTAGGTGTTTTTTATGTATTTTGCTTTGTTTGGTTTCAAGCCTATACAGTACCACTTTATTTATGGTCCTCTAGCATATTTTCTAGGGAACTGGGAGTCTATTTCTGTGTGGTAGGTACTGGTAAATACACCCATTTTCCCACATGTGTGATGTAGGCATATATTTGCTCTATTTACCCACCAGAGGCTTAGGGCCCATACAGGAATAACTCTGCAAAAACAAAAAGTACTTTATTTCATCTGGTTTATGAATATGAGCATCTCTCATCTTCCATTGTCAGACATCCTGACAGTTATGCTGGGTGTTAGCACTGGTTACTGACAGCAGACATGGCCCCAGTATTTTGTCTTGAGGGAGTTTTGCATTATTGTACTTGGCTATGGGAACTATTCCATGACACTATGAGGCCTGTCAGAACTTTGCCTGGAGCAACATGGCAATACCATTTGAGATTAGTGGAACCTTAAAATTCTAAATTATGTTGATCCAGACCCTTTTCAGGATTTTTTTTTTTTTAATCTAGGTTTCAAGTAACTTTACATCAGTTTATTTTGTCAATATAGGCTGGGTTTCTATTACATAAAAATTATATGTTTACACAATATATAAAACAAGGATTTTTCCTAGCATAAATATATATAATTTAGTTTTTTGTTCATGTTTCTGGGTTGGCTAATCAGGAGCTGCCTTGAATTTGAGCACTGGCATCTCCTAGAGGTTGTACCAGCCCCCTGGTTTGTTCAACATGCTGAACGAGGTGAGGGAGAAATTGAGGATCAGTGGTCAACCCAAAAACCAAAGCAAACCGAGCAGAAAATCCAGGCGAAATGCCCTGTAAACCAAACCACTGCTTGAAAACAGAAAATAACGAGGAGAACGGTGTAAACAAGAGAAGGCAATGGGCAAACAACTCGACTCCAACTCACTCAGTCACCACTAGTTGGCAGCCAGGGTTATCCTTGTCCTGACCTACCACCCACCTCTACCCTTAAGGGTAGAGGTGGGTGGTAGGTCAGGACAACATTCTTGGATCAACCAACAGCTGCAACAAGAGTGCTTTGACACTAAGGCATTGCACAAAATGCCTTGGTATCAGGGCATTTTGTACAATGTGCGAGAGAAAACTGTTAATTAAGAGTGCCATATTTCTGTCAAGTTGGCCTTGATAGATTAAGGAATTTCTTGGAAAGGATAGATTGGGTAGACCTGAAAATGAGAGGCAAGCTCTTCATAGGATGCAATTCAAATCCAATGGTGTATAACATGACACCATTGCACTAGTTATGACTAGTTGACTAGTTATGACTAGTTGACTAGTTATGTGGTTGCCATAGAGAAAGCTCTTGAACAAATATAAAAATTAAATCCCCAGCAAGTCCCCAGGGTCAGACGAAGTATTTTCCCAGGTTCTTAAAGAATGTATAAATTAGTTTAGTGAGGCCTTGTCTTGCATATTTAATAAGTCAATAGAGGTAATCAGAGTACCATAATTGTGGAAAGCTGTAAATGTAATGTCAGTTTTCAAGAAGTGAGAAAGATCACTTGCATTGAACTACAGTATTAGTTATTAGCCCATTGAACTATCATCAAATTTGCTTAGCGTATATTGTAGGAAAATTGCTTGAATCGATAATTGCAACTGCGATTTGTTTGCATCTTGAAAAACAGGTTAATAAGAAATTCACAACATGATTTTTATTAAAGGCATTTTATTTAATAAATTTGCATTCATTCTTTTGCAATATATTTCAAACAGTTGATAGCAGAAAGGATTGCCACATTCTGTACAAAGCCTTTGATACTGTTGCTCATGAGGGACTCTTTAGAAAGTTAGAGGCACCTAGTATTGGTGGGGATATCTAAATGCAGATGATGAGTCACAATAACGTGGCTGAAGAATGTTGATTTCAAACCACATACTAGAAGATGAAAAGACAACGACGTTTTGGTCCGTCGTGGACCATTATCAGGTTGGGTTATCCAGAGTTGGATTAGAGGTTGGTTATTTCAGTGAAACTGAGTTAAGTGTGAGTGGAAAAATACTGTAAGTAGAGTGTCTGGGGGCTCTGTCATGGTATCTCTATTGTTTATGGTATATTCCAACAATTTATACAGGATTAAATAGCAACACTTGCAAATTTGCAGATGGTGTAAAAGTAGGGTGAGAAATAAAACCAGAATTCAAGCTCCAAATTGCTACAAGACAATCTAAATTGGAGATGATGAGTCAAAATAATGTGGCTGAAAAATGTTGACCAACCCCACACTAGAAATTGAAGAGACGACGACGTTTCGGTCCGTCCTGCATAAATCCAGAGCCGTGGTAGTTTCGTGAATGTGTCTAATGTACCAAAGGTAAAGCACTGAGAAGTTCTGAAGCCTTCCCAAAATGGGCATTCATTACATTCAACAATGACTTTCCAATTCTCCTGTTCCAGATATCCTGGCAGGGTTCTGTGGCTTGTCCAAATATTTAGCCAAAGTTCTCTAGGTGGATGCTCTGGCTTGGTCCTCTGAAGGTCTTTATGGAGGTTCCTTGATGGTCTTTTTAAAGGGTAATCCTTGGATCTTTATTGGGTCCTCTGTGAATGTTCCCTGGGTCTTCTATACAAAATTTTCTTCACAGGGTGCTGGATGTGCTTTGCCCTTCCACTGTTCTCCACGTGTGTTTTCATAAGCTAATGTGTCCCATTTTCATGTGCTTTTTATGCCATATGCACTTTCCTACTTTTTATGTTTGGAATCCTGTTTCTTTTTCCCAGTGGTAAGTGTTCTTTGAATGGATCTGGTAAGGTTGTTGCCTGTTGTTGTGAGCTGGTGTGCCTTTGTCTTTGCTGCCTTGTGGAGCTTGGCTGTTTGGCTTTAGCCCCTTCTTACCTTCTCTCTCTCTCAGGTGTTTGCTTTCTTGGTTTCCTTGTGGTTTGAGGTGCAATATGTTTTCCTGTGTATACTGTGCCGACCTCGTGTCCGGGTGGCTTCTGCTGTCATGGTTTCTGGTGATGGGTTCTGGGGTCCCCTTTTGTTTTTCTGTCTTTGGTCTCTCCCTTCCTTTCTGGGGGGGTGGATGAAGAGCATATCATTCTTTCTTGTTGCACCTGTCCTTCAGATGTGCTGTGTTTTTTTATTACTCTTTTCCCTCTGTGGAGTGTGCCTTGTACTTTCCTCCTCACCTCCTGTACTTGATGGGCGAGTTGAGTTGCCTCTTTTTTTTTGCTTTACTTCATCTCATGTTGCCAATGGGAGGGGAAGAGTCCATTCAACTTACTTTTGTTTCACTTTTTTGCACCTCTTTCATTTTGTCTGACATTGCTTAGTTTCCTGTTTTGGGGCATATGTTCTTAACCTCTCTGTATATATATTTTTCCCTGTTCATTGTAGAGTTGTCTCCTTAAGAGGGTTTTTTCTTGCCTGGTGTGGGGTGGTTGCTATGTTCGGCAGTTCTGTTTCCTGTTGTGCCCGGGGGGCATTTTCTCGCCTTTGGATGACTGTTGTTTCCAAGGTCAGTGCACTGCTTGTGCATTCTGGCCTGGGGTTTTTATGTACTAATCAGTGTTTCTTTCAGCTGCTTGGCGGCTGTGGAAGTTTTCCTGGTCTGGGTTTGTACCCATACCCTGTTTCCCCACCAGGTAAGCAAGTTCCCTTCGCCTGCGGTCTGTGGCACCTGGACTGCCCTTGTTTCTAGGCCCCCTTGTGATACCTGTTGGTGGTATTTCCATGGGCAAACAATTCTCCTTCCTACGGCTCCAGCTTCTTCATTCTCCTGTTTGGGTAAGTTATTGTCTTTGTTCTCATGTAGCATTGCTTAACCATGGGGAGTTGGCTTTGCTGGCATCCGATGGGCCTTGGCTCAGAAATAATGGGTTGAACATGTGAAGTCCTCATTTCTGAGTTGTATCCTTGGATGTTCCCATTCCCACCCTTGTTGTCCAGTCTTACCCAAATGTGCTTCGGTGGTCTGGACTTCAAGTGGGAGTTGTCAGCTCCCTGACCCTCTTTTGGTGATGATAGTAATACTTGGTGGTGATCGGTGTAGCTTTGATCTACTAACGGTAGTTTGCAGTGCAGTACTGTAATTGGTAATCTTTGTATTTCTAATTTTCGTTTTAAGGTCGTGATTCATTCCATTGTAGTATAGCGAGCTGGTGCTCTCTGTAGTGGGCTGGGTTAGACTCACCACTATCTCCCTTTCTTAAATACATGACAACACCACTTGCAAAGGTGTCATGATGGGAATGAAAACCACAAGGGTCTGGCAAGTGTTACAAGTTCTAGATGGACCTTGATGGCTCTGGCTATAGGAGCATCCAAGGGCCTGGCGCATACAGAAGCATTTCACTATGCTCAACTTCAATTTTCTGTGGGGGAGCCCTGTCGGCTTCCTGAAGCTATCCGAACTTATATAGTGCTTTATTAGTTTGGAATCATCGGTCACAGGAGTCCTTTGCCTACCGGGCACCTCGAGCCAGAACCTGGCCCCCTCAGAGAGGCCCAGGGAGCAATGGCCTATGAGCACTTTACATTTAAAGTATGTCATCTTTTGGCATTGACTGGGGAAGGCACCCACATTTTTGCTTTATGGCTTCATGACCTTAGTCTTTTCCAGCCTTTCCTCTCTCTTAATAATCTGGCTCCTATCAATTTTAAAGTTGAATGGGAATCTAATTCCCTCCTTCCTTTTCTTGACGTTCATGTTCACAGCTCTGTGTCCGGTTTCTCTTTCTCTGCAAACCCATGTATAGTGGTATGTACATTTACTACTTTTCCTAACATCCTCCGTCTCTTTAGAAAAGTGTTCTCGTCTCTCTCTTTCTCCGCGCTCTACGCATCAGTGACCCTCGGTTTCTTGATTCTGAAATTACCTTTATTTACAAATCTTTCTCTCACCTTGGTTACCTCTTACATTTTATCTACTGTACCTATTCCCAAAGTAAACAAAATTTCTTTCATCCCAAACCTGTTTCCAACACTAGTACCACTGTGATCTGCCTTCCCTTCACATCTGTACTAAAAAATCTCACTAATACCCTTCGTCCTCTTGATATAAAGCTTACCTTTCAACAAACTAACATTCTTCGTAGTAATGTGGTTCACACTGCTCCTCCTGCTTCTAATGCTGCTGGTGTCTACTCTATTTCCTGTTCGTCTTGTCCTGTCCAATACTTTGGGGAAACTGGCCATACACTAAATGACAGACTCAAGGAACACAAAAGAAGTGTTAAGTTTGCAGACACAAACAATCTCTTTCTGACATGTTAGGGACCCCTAATCATCCTATTGATTGGTCTTCTAAAATAATCTTTCCTGTTTCTACTTTTCACAGATGCTGTCGTGTTGAACTGGCTCTGATCTACAACATACCCAACATGAATCTTAGTCCTGGCTTTGTTGCTGTTGACTCTTCCCTTTCACAGTACATACTCAAATGCTCTAACCTTCGTAACAAACATGACCTGACTTAAGCTTACCCTCCTTATTCTTTATCTTACCCTCTTCTTATGCTTACTTATCCCATTCTTCCTTCATCCCATTATTACACTCGTCCCATTTGCTTTCATCCTATTATTACCTTTTTGCCTTACTCTTACCTTCTTCTCTTACCTGCTCCCCACCTTACCTTCTTCTAGAATTACATTTTTCTCTTACCTCACTCTCCACGTTTGTTGCCCCGTGCCTTCCTCTAATCCCATCACATACAACTTGATAATGGTCCAGGACGGACTGAAACATCGTCATTTCTTCTTCTTCTGGTGTGTGATTTGGTCATCATTCCTGAACCTAACATAATACTGTAGTTTTAAGAATAATAATAATTTATTGTGTCAGGGGACAGGAAGCCAGGTTATACATACAGTACATGCTAGGCTTATACGAAGGTCTCACAGCCAGGGTCGAATTACTGACCCCCAACCAGGATGCAACCCCACAACAAGCTGATTAACTCCTGGGTACCTATTTACTGCTTAGTGGACAGGAGCATGAGGTGAAAGGAAATGCGCTCAACAATTTCTGTCGCCCAAGAATCGAACCCAGAATTCTCAATTGTGAGTCGAGAACAAACCCAACTGCACTACCACGACTGGCAGTGCTGTGGTAGTAGGTTCATGCCCAGCTAGTCCTAGTGGATTTTCTCAAAAACATTAATGATGTATAATTTTAATCTACATCGTAGTCCAGTGTCATGTCACCCACCTCTGGACTCGTGTCTTGTTCCAAGGACAGCCCACCACCCATGTTCATGTTCACCCACTCTACCCTTCACACGTAACTTCTCATACCTTTATAATATGCTTTATAGAAATCTGGTACCCTAAAAGAGTTTTCTTTTGAACAACTTTTCTGTGCTAAATTAAATCTAATTTCCTTGTAATCACTGTTCCCTAACAGTGATGACATGCCTGGAAGTACTGTACAAATACGTAACCTGACACCAGATTATGGAGTTATAATTATATAATATGCGGAAAATCCACAGAGAATTGGGAAAGAGAGATGAACGTTTCGGCCGATCTGGGCCTTTGTCAACACGGCCGTTCATTCATCTCTCTCTCCCATTTCTCTGTGGATTTTCCACATACAAATGATCAGTGTTTAGTGACCGTCAATTGCAATATATAATATATATACAGTAATAGATTATATACGTGCATGAATATTGCACAAGATTATTTTTATTTGAAGTATGCGGGTGAAGCATTTATAGAATTGTGGTTCGAACAGAGGACATGAGCGAAGCACTTGTTCCGGAAGTGTTTGGACGTCATCAGTTGTGAGTCGTGTGTAAATCGCTTTTCATTCATAAACGGGGTTTGACGGCTGGATTAACGAGCTTGGATCTTTGTATGCGAGAACCAGCTGCCAAGGAATCCACCTGTTCAAGTGAACCATTTGCAGTCGTTTGGCTATTTCGGTGCCTCGTTATCTGTTAATCTTGTAGTTACTGTTTGCTTCACTTTTGGATGTTTTCTTGTTAAAGGGTAATCATAATAATCCTCTGCTCCCTAAACCTCTATGATGGGGAGGGGGGGGCAGTGTCTAGCTCTGGTCCTTGGTAGGCCATACAGGAATCCTATGGCTGATGTGACTCGGAAGTGGGAAGCCATCTCAGCAAGATAGCTTCAGGGAGTCACTGAGGCCCTACCAGAAAGAGGCATTTCATTACATTCAATGCTGCTTTTAGGAGCAGTTTGCTTCACCTGCTTCGTGCTACTTACAATTAGAATTTGCGTGAGAAAAGAATATAAATTTAATTTTTACTTATTATTTATGATTTGTAACCATCAAAACATTGAATACCATTAAGTGACCATAAATATCTTCTCTGTTAAACATTCAGAATAAATATATTCTTAATTTGTTCAGTTCTTGTTTGCACATATTATATAGGTAATTAAGCAGCTTTCATTTTTTTAGTGAGTCATCAAGTGGACGTGGCAGTAGGTCTAGCAGCCATCATGACTCCCCAGCACTGCACCGACGTAGTGTTGCACGGTCGACTTCTGTGAGACGCAACACTGGTTAGTCAAGCTACTGTTTATTTTCTTGTCCACACCCATTTTTCTGCTTGGCTGCAAATGCTTGAATGACCTTAATCTCCTACTACTTCATTAGATGATCAACAACGTCAACTTTTTCAGAGTCGGCTCGTCAATCTCAGTGTACAGTAAGAAAGTTTCTAGATATTCACAATGCTACAAGAAGTTATGTATCACTGGCCCTTTTTGTTATAGATGATGTGCATTAAGCTGTAGCTCGATCTCTGTAAAAGCTACCTGTTGTTTAGTTTGTCTTAGTATCCTGTTGAGTGAGTGGACAGTTTTGATGAGCTTAAGCCTGGGGTCTAGTGTGACTATAGCTTTGTTCTCTATCTTAGGTATTGCCACAGTGCTCATAAATTGTACACACTGGCATGTTTTATTAAATGTTAAGTTTATCCTTGAAACTTCATAACTAAAGATACCAGAGTACTGTAGAAAGCTCTGATAATAGTGTGACAGTGGCAGCAATACAGTTTTTCATTTCTCCCCTTATGTCCTCGCCATATTCAGTGGATGTTGTAGTATTACCTAAGTCTGTTAATTTGTATATCTTCCCACGTGTATTTGTTAAAATGGACAGATGGGTGCATCTATTTTCTATGGACCTGTTTCTAGATTAGTTTCTAGATCAGCTTTAATTAATGAGTGTTAATTCATGCTTTAATTAATATGTAATTAGTTAATTTTCTTCAAGTACTACTACCGTTGGTAGAGGAAATACATGTGTGTTTATTCAGCCCTTCCTCTTGAGTTGTCACATCTCAAAAATTATGTACCAAATTGCCTGAACCTAATATAACCGATGACCCACACATAGAAAATGTGAAAACCCATCAATTTTGTGAGCCGCCATGGGTTATAATAGATGATATTGTGACATTTGGGATTTATTCTTCAAAATGCACTACACTATTTGAGAGGACAGGTTGGCATATTACAGCTTGCTGGGGGGTGATATAAACTGATCTGGAGAACCATACCAACTACCTTAGGCTATGAACAAATTTTCTGCATTTTCATGCAGTAAATGTTATTAGACATTTGTTTTTAGTAGTATTGCTCATGATCACATTTACATTCATAGCTGTAGTTCAGGGAACACAATCTGGGGTGAGTGAAATTTTGTGGACTTTCACAAGATTATGCTAAGTTCAGTTATTCCTGAAAGAAGTACAGTAAAGCTAAAATATTATGAAATGATACCAAGGAACACTAAAAAAATAACAGTGGTCCTTGCAGTGTTTGTTGCTTGGTACCTGGCACATGAGAGCTTGGTAGGCAAGTTATACTCTGGAGTGACTTGAACTCTCATCTGGTGGAACATTGAAATACTGTACGTGTGCTTGGTGTATGTTGACATTAGGAAATTTCAACATGCCAAGTTACCGTCTTTTCTTTCTTTCATCATGGTACGTAGATTGTGCTGATTCACCTGTACTTTCTGGACAGTTTTACTCAGTTATGAGATTGATATTAAATCTCCATGCTCATCTCGCCTCTGTGAGCACCAGATTCTGGTCCTGGTGCTCAGTAGGCTTGTGCAAGTACACAGGCTTGGTTGTTTTGTAGCTGTATCCATGGTATCAGAGCCATTGCACCAGAGATCTGCTGAGGCATCCCAGAAATGGCATTTCATTACATTCAACACTTGATTACTGGTGAGGCCTTAACAGTTCCCCACTCCTGCCTTGTTCCCTTCTTCCCCATGGGGAGAGAGGTTCTGTTCGCCAGCTCGTGAGTAACGCGGGTGACTAGCAGGAGCTTCAGCTGAACTGGATACTACCTAGTGGCAGTCAGGCATCACTAGTGTGTTTACCCCATGGCAACAATCATTTTCCTCATTACCTTCAGGCTCCTTAATTTATTCAATCATTTGCTTGTTTTGTGGTGTTTGTGCTTTCTGGTGAGATTTTTCCCCACAATTTTGAGTTGATCTCCAAACTCCCCTTGATTGTAGAGAGCAAGGCTCTCAAGGTCCTGGCTCCTGGAAGGCTCAGGTGGGTCTTGAGGCCTAGTGCAACTTCCTAAGGTATAATTGGACCATCTTCTGATTAACGTATTCTGATGAGGTCTGTTTCTCTAGGTAGAGAGTTCTCATTTGCAGGAGATTCATCCCTCCCAGTATTGCCTCCACAAATACAGAAGATTTTTCCAAAATGCCATGGGGAAGATGGAGTGATGCGCAGCACAGACTTGATAACTGTACAGTTTTTACATTCCTGTTGTTGCAGTTCCTGTAGGACTAACTCATTCATCCATGTGTTTTATCCGGATGTGCACAAAGTGCTGGTAATGAATGTACGTACTGGTTACTGGTTAGTTTAATAGAGGTAGAAAACATCTTGCTTCATAATCATTTACCTTAACAATATTTTTAATACGAGTTTACAAAATAAGCACAGCTAAGCATAGCTCAGGCTAGAAAAATGATAGCTTTACTTTTTCAGGAATGCTTGCAGTTTACCTTGCTGAACCTCTTACGTGTGCAGTCCTTAACCATCGTACTGCGCCGAGTTTATTGTGAAATTCCATGAAAGTGCGCATGAAATAAAGTGTCCCCAAAAAATTCTTTTTTTCTTCGTAAAATGATAAATTCCCTTCCCTGAACATGTCTATGTAAAAATAAATACCAAATTCCACTTACTTTGGCTGTGGAGACGTGGACAAGGTGCGCTGTGACGTCATCAGGGCCTGGTCGCCCGTGCGTGAATCACCCAGACACGGTCGCACGGGCCATTCAAGCACCGCGTGTTGCCACAAATATATTTTCAATTATTTGTTTTATGTATTTCCAATGCGGTTTTATTTGTTTTTTTAGCGTATATGATACATATTTGTGTCCTTTACAATATGTATACAGTAGAACGTTCATAATGTTTCCTGGAACTGTAATACATGGTCAGTAATGTGTCCACAATATATGTTTATTGTCACAATATTACCTGTTAAAAATTCTCTAAAATTACAATATGTACAGTTTCACACACTATTTACACAGCAACACGCTGTATTACACACTTAGTAATTCGGAAGTGAGTAATAATCAACGAAGTAGCCCATGGTACACAGCGCGACTTCGCTCTCAGTGCACCAGGTACAGATAAATTTTGCTTCCTGTTTCTTCATTCTGTGTGCTTGCAAATAACACACTCATGTACACCCTTGGCTTTAGTACTTGTAGGTTGTATGTAGCCAAGCTTGTAAAGCATAAGGTAGTATTGAAAAGATTATAGGAAAAGATCAATTTGTAAGGTAGTCTTGAAAAGATCGCTTTGTATGGTCCCACACAGGAAGAGATTCAGCTTAACACAAGAGTGTCTGTCAGTCAGAAAGACACACTGTGTCGGACAGGTGTTTGGGAGCCAGAGGCGCGTGCGCCACCCATGGTTGCTCATTCAGTACTAACCCAGCCAGCAGCTCAAGGGCATTCTGGGAATTTTTTCAAAGATGGCTGCCTCTCACTGGAGGTCCTAAGACTCCATTTTGTACATAACCAACCTCGTGCACATTTAGAATTGGTACCGAAAAATCAAAGAGTTTTCTCGGTTGGCGCAGTTAAGTGGTTAAACAACTATTTCAGTGCTCCTTAAATTAATGGGACCCCCAGTAGTAAAAAAAATGTATACCCCTGAATCAATATGAATCCAAGCTTTGTATGCATTTTTTCTATGGTTTTATTCACTCAAATGCTTGTACCTACTCTACTCTACTTACTAAGAAATCTAAAATCCCATTTGATGGTTCTAAAATATGTTAGTTATTTAAAGAGTTATTAAGAATGTATAAATATATTACTAATATTCTCATTTTCAGTTAATTATATTGACTACTTATTTCTTAAAGTTCCTTCTTCCAGGACAGGTCCCAGTGTTTAGTCTGCATTACTGGCTGCTAAAATAGACATTTTGTGAATAATAGTTACCTATATTGCATGATTTTTCAAAGCTTATGTTTTGATTATGAGTGACATGATGACTGCCATTGTATAGTATACATAAGACTGGTAAGTGACATGATGACAGCCATTGTATAGTATTTTAACAAACGAGTTTAGTTTATTGTAGAAATTATTCATTATAGATCTGGCATAAATACTACAGGGGGCCACGTAGTTTGGAAAGTGGAAAGTTGAAGCAAGGCGAGAGTTACCTGACTTGGGAGAGAAAAAGGTGGTCCCAGGAGATTAGGGCAGAGTTGTGGAAGCGACGATTGCCAGCTCCTCCTTATATTAAAGTATCACTTTTGAGAAATTTATGTATTAAAGTAACTGTAATTAATAATCTCTTTTGTCATGTACGTAGATGAACTTAATGTCATTTAGGAATGAAGAATCAAATCTCCTCTTTAGTTCAAGATCAGTTGACTGGTAGATTTGGCAACACCGGCTAGATCAGGTCGCCAGGCTTGGCCTCACCATCAACCTCCCTCTACTCCTAAGAACCCATCTTTCTTGTTCATTCAGTAATGTGGGAAATTTAAGTAAATTTAATATTATATTCAATAATACTGAAATTGTTGTAATAACTAATCTATGTTAACATGTGTGTAGAATGTAAAGTCAAGATCAGGGGTTCGTATACCATCAAACATAGTGACGTCATGTAGAGTAAGAGGGGGACTAGCTTGCATGGCGTAAGAATCTTGACCACCCTGGGTCAAAGGGTCACCAAAGCCCTGCATATTATTTAATTCACAAAGTACAAAATTTTGATCTCTAGCAAATATTGTAATTGGAAATAGCCTTTCCCAAAAATGTCTAATAGAATTACCATCAGTTTAATAACAATTACCATCTTGGGTGGGCAGGACTTAAGATTTAGTGTGTGAAATTAACCTTGCTTGGTAATTTGATAAGCCAGGGAGTTGGGAGAGTAATACTAGCCTAGGTCAGGCCTTAGCTGAGTACAGGCAAGTTAGTGTGGCATGGAGCAAGCATATATATGCCAGATCTCCAATGAATAATTTCTACAACAAACTAGTTTGTTACAGTATACATATGACTGGTGAGTGACATGGTGACAACCATTATATAGTAGGCATGGGACCTTATTGTTGGGTGACACATCTCAGACTTGGTGGACCAACACCACCCAGCTTTATTGAGGCAAGATGCTACCTTGTTGGCTCATAATTGTTTGTTCTGCAGCTTATAGAGGATAGTGTGTAGAAGTTAGGCTTGTTGGCAATAGTGTTCATAGACATTGTGTCTGAATGCTGTGGCTGTGTCTAATGAGCTTAGAGAAACAGTCAATAAATTGAAACTTTTGAAAATAATGTTTTCTTTGATGTATATAAATATTTGGATAGAGGCACAGTTTAAGCTTGCCCTTGATTAAGATATGATCTCTGCCTCAAATCAGTGAGCATCTTCAATGTTAGTTGTATTAAAATGTGACATTCTTATATAGCTAAGTTGGGTTTATTAAATAGGAAAAGAATTCATATGTGAGAACAGAAAAAAAAACATTCCTTTTCCTAGGGGAGACTCCTTGTGGCGCCTTGAAGCTATCTCACTAAGATTGCTCCATTCTAATGGGCCACTCAGTCGCAGGAGTTCTGTTTGAATAGGCATATCAGTATTGATTTGCCTATTCATTAAAAATGTCTACTGTCATTCATACTACATTGAATTAATTGCTCTATTTATGGCCATTGAAATATGCTGTTTGAGTTGGCTTCTTCATAATTTTCCCTGCTAAAATCTTTGTGCTGACTTCTCCCAGAGACAACAAGTATTTTTACTGCGGTGCTTTATGTAAACTGCTTTAAGACAGTTACTTTTCATGTGTTGATCATCATTTAGTGTAGTAATTGACATGCAGTGTTCTTGTGACTAAGAGTCTTTACACTATTGTTATCCTGTGTTGCTTGAAATCCAGCATTGGTTGTATTTCTTCTTCAGCAGATACAAGGCAGTCAGGTTTAGCTGTGTTTCATTACCTATAATGACCTAGGAGACGTAGCTGCCAAATCCAACTGTTCACACCTATCCCATCTCCCAAAACGAATTCCTTTCTCAGATTTATTCTGTCGTCCATGATGCAATCTGCACCCTTTGGAGAAATAGGCTTCAGTTACCACAAATAACTTATGATGTACCACCAAATATGACCTATACCTATGGGAAATGTCTCTGGTTAGGTTACATATTGGCCACACAAGATTAACTGATGGGTACTTAATAGAACAGAGACCACCCGACTGTTAGAACAGCATTGTTCTGCCAACAGTCATTTCCCTCCTTGCAGAATGTCCTAATTTTGTGGGTGTTTGAAAATTTTGCTGTCTCACTGTTCCTTTGTGTCACATGACCCTCAAAAAAAGTCCTTTGAGAATCTGACTCATTTGACACCATTCTTATTATCTTCTCTTGTATTAGCATCCTGAATAGATTTGATTTTGTTCATTTATTATGCACCTCACATACCAAATCCTGAGTAGTATCTAGGAATTCTTAAATTTTCTATAATGTAGTTAGAGCTATTTATCCATAATAGCTAATTGCTTCCTTTTGATAATTACTTGATTTATTTTATTACTTCATGCCTACCATATGTGACATACTTATGAGTGAGTTTGGGTGAATATAAATAAGAGCTGCCACATATGGGTCAATAGGCCTGCTGCAGTTTCCTTGATTCTTATGTTTATATAGATTAAATTTTAATTTAATTTAATAATCTAGGTGAACCTAAGTTTTTCTTTTTAGCTTAACAGACCCCCTTCCCTTCTCGGGGAACTGTTTCCTCATAAGTACTTTTCATGCCAGTAATCCCAGCTGTGTTGATTTAAGAACATATATTGATTGTAATGTTTATACTTTTGTTGAAGAATGTGATGATCACAAAACTAGTTGTGGACTGCAAGTGCAATGTGTGTTTGGATTGTTTCTAGCTTGTGTGGGGCAACTGTTATGGTATAATGTATGCACACCCATACATATGTACGTGTGGAGCCAGTCAAGCACCTGCATGGCCACATCTTAATCACTTTATTCTGTTTTCTGAAGAGTAGTTGTCCAGAAGGAGCCATCATACAGTACTAAATAATCACAACTCCTAGCCTTGAGTCTAAATCTTAATGTTCGGTTCAATAACAGAAACTTTCATTACTGCATGAATCACTGGTCATGAAAGAGCCAGTTCAGCAGGGTTGCTAGAACACTGGGAACAATAATAGAATTTATTTACAAATACTGGTACTGTTCAAATGGCTACCTTGTTGTGATTCCGCAGATCAACGTCCCCGCAGTTCCGGTCTCTGGCCAGGTCTTCTGGTTGGCTAGGTTATATTTTTATCTAAAAAAAATTTATTTTAGAGAGGAAAGAATGATGAATATGTGAATTAATGTTCTAAAAAAGTTTAGAAAGCTGAGGATTGTTTGATGAAGTGACTTTACAAGAAGACTAAACTGGAAAATGTTCATGATTAGTATAGTATGCACCAGAGTATAACTCTCTTTATATGTAAAGTATGCAGAGAGGGGGAGGAATATGACATGAAACTTCATGTGGCATTTTGGAATGTCGTCAAAAAGTTTTAAATTCTCATTCAGACAGTAAATCTATTAAGTTACATGTCTTTCTATTTCTAATATTTTACCAATTTCTTACATATTTATAGTATAAAGACAAAGTTAATATAAATGGCCTGAAGAAATACTGAATTAAGAGACCAGAGAATAATTTGTAAGCATTATACAGAATGAGGTAAATATCATTTCTATGTGGAAAATGTATAATTGTTGCTTCTGGTTCTATTGAGTGAGATTTGAATTGTAAATTATCTTCAAAAAGAAACTATACATTTATCAGTTATAATATATAAGACAAAAGAATTATTGTAGTCTAAAAATCTAAACATCCATATTATATTTATAAATTTTAGGAATTGCAGGATCATGAAAGTTTGGCAAAAGAGTACGTATATGTGAAATCAGGCAAAATGCAAATTAAGTCGGCCATTATTATAGACAATAAAAGTGTGTAGGCTGTATAATTTTGCTCTGCATAATTATTTTGTGCAGCATTGTAGTTAAAGCCTTTGGTCAGTAGTAGTTACTTGCCCTTACCCCACAGCCCCCTCACGGTCAGCTCCAGCCCGCGAGTGCCACCGCCGCACACACTCCCACTCTGCAGTCACCAGGAATGAGTCTAATGTGCGATCTCAACAAGCACATTCTTACCATGTAGAGCTGTCTAACACCTTGTATGGGGGGGAACTACGTACACCTGATACCCCGAGCCTCATGACCCAGAGTATGGATCCTGCCATCTTATCTCAACTAGCTGGTAATGCACCCAGGGGTACAACTGATCTCATGTCACGAAGTTTGGGAGCCGAGCAGATGTCTCGTTCCCTGGGTTTGGACCCCATGACCCAGTCTATGGGAGAGGAAGATTTTAAACATGCAATGGAATTTGATCCCATGACACAGAGCCAGGGACCTGAACAGCTTGCACGCAGCCTATTACGTCAAGATTCCAATAACAGCCTAATGACACGCAGCTTGGATTTGGGCCATCTCACCAATGGGGAGACTGAGACATGGGGGGAGCATGTGTCTCACCCACTACCCCACAGCCACCCACGACCCACAAGCCTCTTTGGAGACGAAAATGATTTGGTGGTAGAAGACATTGGGCCCCAAGGTACACATTTCTTATTGCACTGTTGTACCATCACCTCAGCATTCACTGCTAGTTACCTAATACACTACATTTATGCAATCCACTCTCTAAATTATCAATACAAGTCTTGTGGGGTTGTATGTGGAGAAATGTTTTGCATACTTATTGCCAAAATGTGCCAAATTAATTTGTTTTCATTAGAAAAGAAAGTGAAGAAACATTTTGATGATCATCTTTGTAACATGTTTAGCTGGTGAATTTGTATTCTACTTCATCATAATGTTAATTTTCTCTATTTTTATGTTTCAGATATAAAATGTACTTGTTATTAGTATTTTAGAGAGTGGAGTCTTGTGGTTAGATTCTTGTGTACTACTCTCACCCTCACCCAGTAGTGTAGCACACACCTGCCCAGTTTTTGACTCTGCATTGCACAGCCTTTAGCCAGTTTCACAGTGGAATAACTAAAGCTTTCTCGGAATTTTTGTATGTTAAATTTTAAAGAATTTATTCCAATTTTAGATTGCTTTTAAATACTGTACAGGTAATATATAATTCTTCTAAATTTTTTTATGTAATGCAAATGTTTTGAACAGTTTATAGGTAATTATTTTGACCTTTTAAATACTGTGTATATTTTGGATGCTTTTTAGATAATATAATTATTTTCAATCACAATTACCTAATGTAATTCTTTAAAATTAATTACCTAATGTAGTTTTTTTATAATTAATTACCTAATGTAATTTTATTGCCTAATTACCTAATATAATTTTGGGGAATCATTGACAAGTAAAATTAGCTAGGTACAGTATAACTAGATTCAATGTTAAATTGGTATCAAGTAATTATAAAATATTAAAACTTTTTAGTATATTGATCAATATATTGGCTATTGAAGGGGAGCACTAAGGTGCAGATTAACATTTCCAGAGCACAGCAGCCAGCTCACAGGCTCCAGTAAGTTTGTCCCTGCTCCAGAAAGTATTATGAGCCCCGAGTTTCAAGCGGCCTTGGCAACACGCTCAAGTCATATCCACAGGTGAGTGAAGGTTGGGTATTAAGGACCATTGTGAAAATGATGTTATGTGATATACTTATAGTAAAGTTGAGTTAAATATGTAAATACGCATTGCAAATTTTTGGTGATGAGTTTAATAGTGTGTTGTAGATCATTTTATAGCCGCAAGACGTGATTTCAACTGTAGGATAAAAATGGGGAAGATATATTAAATCATGTAATATAGTAGTTTTAAATAATTTAGGGCAATATAAGATAATAATGAGAGTATGTAAAATGAAAAGATATTAAATGATTCTAGATGAGTGTTGGCCATCCTTTGGACTCTGCCCTGTTGGCGGCCATTTGCATATATATGTGTCTATGTCGTTTCCACGTTTAGCGTTAGCTTCATGTGTGTGTGTTTACAAGCCTCACTTGTTGTGTGGTTATATTTCACCTTAAAACTAGATCTGCCCTACTCTAGGTGCTCATTTGGCACTGCCCCTGTCCTTGCAGAGTACATTCTATGGGGTGTTCAGGAGTTCATCTCATAGGCCACCCTACTATGTACAGTACCTTGCCAAGAGTAATGCTTCTTTGACTCCTCTGCAAAGCCCTGAGATTGGGGATATTCAGGCTTGTTTAGGGGTGCACTTTGATTCTCGTGCTCGTTCTTACGGCACACTGCTGATGTCCTTCACACCCATGTTTATCCTAAGGCCTCCATTTTGGTTTTAGCTCTTCCAATGAGTGTCTCGAGTGCCTGAGTGTTCTCTTGGACTTGCTGCCTTCAAGTTTTAAAGATGTCCATCTATTTTGCTGCATGTCAGTGGTCATTCATACTTTCTGCTAATACTGCCTGGTGGGTGGATGTTTGAATTCACTAAGTCTTTATTCTAGCAAAGCCTGTTTCCAGACAAAAGATAGATCAGGCAGCACCCATTATACTGGAGGGATTCTTCCATAATCATTGTTTGTGACTGGGTGCCCACGTAGATGCCTTGGAGTTAGGCCCTATGGTGTTTAGGGTTTCAGAGTACAAGTGGCTGGGGAATTTCACATGTTCAGAGTTTCTCTTCCTCCACCCCTTACCCAAAGCTCGGGGCTCCGAAACGTCCAAGATGTTTTGAAGTCTGGGCATGGTTTTACTGTGGACATATAAATTTGTTCATCTGTGGACATATCTTTGCCACCTCTGGGATTTGCCCCATTTATGTCAAAGGTGAAGACAGCTGAGCTGTCCTTCCCTCCAGGAATTACTCGAGTATGCAGCACCAGAATGAAAACAACACCGTGTGAAGCACAAAAAAAAACTTGAGAAAGCTCAGAGGTTTCCAACTAGATTAGATTCTGAACTGAGAGGGTTTTGCTATGAGCACAGATTGATGGAACTCATCCATACAACTTAAAAGGGAGAAGAAAAAGGGGAAAGACATGATTACTACATACAAGAGTCTGAAGGTAATAGACAAAGTAAACAAAGGAAGTCAATTTAAATTAAAAAAGAGGTAGGACAAGAAGACAGTGGTGGAAACTGAACATGTATTTCAGTTACAGTAATATAAGGAAGTTCTCATGCCCTTTATAGGTGGTCATCAAGTGGATTGCAGTGAAGAAAGAGGTTGTTGAAGCAAATTCCATCTACATCTTTAAGAAAAAATATGATCAAAACATTAATGTTGAGAGACAAAATTAGCACGTCCGGTATAAACTGCTAGGAAGCAGGGCATGAAGAGCTAGATCTCACACCCCATAGTCACTGATAGGTTAGTACCGTGTACCTTTCAGAAAGGTAATTAGAGTGTCGGGTATAAATGACTAGGAAGCTGGGCATAAAGTGCAAGATTTCACTTCACCCATAGTCGCTGATATTTAAGCATCAGTCTTTCAGATAGTCCTCAAATCACATCTCTCCTCTTTATTAGTGCTAACCTGGGCTTACAATGCAAAAGCCTTCCTTCCTTTGACTAACGTTACCTTCAGCTTGTTTATCACTAACTTACCTCTTTGTGCTTTTTGTTTCTAATATCAAGTTTAACCCACAGCTCTTCCGGTGGCCCCACACAACAAAGCATTAGTGTGGCACGGTCCAACTCCATTCCACGTTCTCAGCGTCCACCTCCGTCCATCAGGCCCACAGCTGCACCTCAGGATTCTCCAAGAGTAAGACTTTGCCAAAAATAATATGTGAATTACCGTATGTAGTTTATTGACCCATCCACATAATTTTTCTGACAAGTTTATACCCATAACAAGTTAGCAAATTTGATTGTTATTACTTTTCTTTATGTTCTACAAACTGAAATTATGGCATATATGGTGTGATTCCTTAAACTTCAGCAAACGCCGTCACGATCTTCATCGGTAACTCGGCCTCGAGCATCGCCCATGAAGAGTCCGGCCCCTTCCGACATTGCAAGGGGCTCTCCTTCTCGTACTGCACGCCCATCCAGTGGGGCACAAAACTCTAGTACAGGACCATCAACACTACCTAGACCCAAGCCTTCTCCCAAGCCCGCCCCAAGATATGTGCGCTCTGTCTCTGTTGAGCCTGCCACCAGGTAAACACCTTCAAACATCTAATTGCATCTTAATAATTGTTCTTCCTCTTAGGTATGATTATTTACTTTACTGTATTTATTTGTAAATGGTATGATAGTCTTTTAAAAATTCTTTTGAATGAGAGTTATTTGTTATGTTTGCTAGAAAAACAATGTTATACCACTTAAACTTAATCTGATAATTCACATGGGGTACATGTAACTTCAGGTTTGCATGTAAGTGTTGTTCTTGGACTACATTATCCCAGTGCCCATTTGTTTTGGTCACATAATGGATTATTTTCTAGCATTATAGTACTTCCTAAGCATTCTGAAAGTTCATGATGAAACACTAGATAATGTTAAATTAGAAATGAACCTAAATAATAAAGAAGCCGGGAGCAGTTCTCACTGCATAGCCATGTGTACACCCCAACTGAGCCATGAATGAGTATCAAATATTACCTACATCACAAGGGTGTGTAAGCATGTTCATTCTGAGCAATGCCACTCGGGAAGCAGATGGCTTGCCAAATCCCCCCAATTATTCCTAAGGACTTTTTTGCAGTTGAATTTTGAACTGGAATACTGTCTTGGCATTACAATTTTGTCAGTCAACTCTGAGTTTATTAAGAGGAACCGGAACCATGAGTCAAGCTGTATCCACCACTCCTGAAGATTGTTCGCTCCACTTCCTACATGACGTATTAGACTCCCTATTTGTTTCTGGCTAACTGACAAATATTTATATTCCATGGCAAGTGGTAATTATTTTGCAGGACCCCGGTGCTTTGAGTGACCAACCATTGTGTTCATATTCTGAGATTTGTTAGCTTGAGGATACATCTGATAAGCTACAATCACATCATTTCTAGTTCCTTTGAGATATAAAACTTAATAGCAAATAAAGTGTGTGTTGATGGATTACATTTGTAAACTTCCTTAACAGGAGACCAAGCTCAACAAAGAAGAAAGCTGCTTCTCCACATCATGGATATTCAGATGCCGATTCAGATAATACTGACTCTGAAATGTCCATCTCGAAGCTGCAGACAATTAAAAGCATTGCGGCTGAGAGGAAGCAGACAGAGAAACGAGGTAGAGATCCCATGCATTCCTCTCATGCTTATGATCCAGAGAAATATAGGAATGGTGCTCCAATTAGAAGTTCTGATAATAGTAAGTTGATATATGGTAGTCTTGCTAATTGTATTGACATTATTATAATAATTATAACTTTTCTTTTACATTTTCATTTAGGAGAGAGTCTTTAGTTTTATAGTTTATTTAAAATAGTTCTTTAGTTTATTTAACAATAAACACGTTTATTATTTTTGTTGTATCATCTGGTATGTCTGTGAAACACCTTTCTTCTATTTACCATTACAGGTACTTACATACAGAAAGAAGAAACCCCAGTATTAAATACAGTAGTATAAATTACATTCACATAAAATTTATCTAAGTATTAATTCTAGTCAATTTGAATTTTTTAATTGCAGATGATGTGCGCCGCCGTTCAAGCAACAGTAGCAGTGGGAGCAGTACCTCAGATGTGACCAAAGCTCAAGCAGCCATCACCTTACAGAAACACTGGCGAGGATACCAGACACGCAATAATGATCCAAATGCTGCAAAAATAAGAGATGATATTAGACATTCTCGAGCTGAACAGCATATCAAGTATGAATGTTTTTCCTTGGTCTACCTCATGCAATTCCTGCTGAATAGATTGAATAAAAAAATTCTGGCAAGCCAAGCTCTGATTTTATATAGGCTAAAGTGTTGGTTTAGCATGTTTGTGTATCATTGCTATCATAAGCACCCTAAAACTAGTTATTAATATGTTATGACGTTATTCAGCGATGAGATTAATAATCCTAATAAGAAACACGAGTGATTTCTAGAAGCAAAAGGGTTCCAGAAATCACTCAAACCTAATAGAAAGGTTTGTGGGAGGAAAGTTGAGAATAGTGAGCCAGGTAAGGAATGAAGCCAGCTGGGACAATTAACAGCCATGATTGCTAATAACATAGAAAGTGGCGAGTGTTGTAACATTAATACATTCTTGTAAGACACTTGTGTGAAGTGTACATGAACAAACCTTATGTCAGTAGAGAAATATGCAATCTGATGACTATGTGTCATGATAGGAAGATAGACCATATTTGGAAAGATAGTGTCATAGGAAATTACTGTATGTAGTATTAAATAAAGTTTGTGGCTTGGATTGGTTCAATGTTCCAGGGACCTATTCCAGGTTTTATTAAAAATTCTTAAATGAAATTCACAGTAAGCCAAGGAACTTAAATTTTAAAATCAAAAGGCATTAATAGTTGCATATTACAAGTAACAATTAAATTACATGTTTCATTTATTTGTTTTGCATCTGATAAAATATTTTCCTGTGTATCAGGCATTTAACAGAGAAGTTGCATTCTACTGAAGAGGCCCTAGAACGTGAAAGGCGCCTCCGACACATGCAATTAGACGCAATTCGTACCTTGTGGCGAGAGATCCAGAAGCTGCAGGCTAACAAACGTGAGGGTGTCACTACACCCTCTACCCCAATAACACCTCTAACACCGCTCACACCCTTGGATGCTAAAGAAGGAGCTGCTGCTGCAACTGCTGCTGCAGTTGCTGCAGGCACTAAAAAGTATTCTGAGGAGAGTGTGAAAGAGCTCACTGAGTTTTGTGCATCTCTGCAAGGACAGGTAAGTGTCTCCTTAAATGAACTAATAATAGAATCTCACTGTGCTTCCTATGTCCTATTGAAATTTTAACTTTCATAATACAGTATATCATATTTACTCTTAAATGCCCTCTGGAATGATAAGCCACAAGGTGAGCTTTGGACATAATTCATGGAAAAAACTTAATCTATGTTCTTAACCACAGCCCAAAATTTAACCACCTTTTGAAACTCCATCAAAATTATTTTCACATTTAAAGTTGTACTTAATACAAGAAATATTAGTACTGTATCATTGTTATTATATTTATATTTAATTTCAGGTTGGACAGCTTCAAGAATCATTGTCAATGGTTACACAAGTGATGAATGCATTTTGTAATCTCCCAGGATCGCAGTCACTACTCACAATGTCCCAGTCTAGTGGATCAGGTCATGAAAGATCACCAGGTGGTGATTCACCACCATCCCAGAGTGCTGCTACAATTCCTGTTCCTCTCAGTGAATCAGTAACCTCACTCACACACTCTATTCGTGCACTCACTACTTCAATTGTGAAATCTCCTTCAAACCGTAACGATAAAACAATTGGTGTTGAGGGCAGTGGTGCTGTTGGTGTGGGTAGTAGCGATGGTAGTGGTAATATTCATTGTGATGATAACATTTGTGAGGATCATTCCAGTGATGGTTCAGATGGAACTCCAGTTGCCTGTCAAAAGCTGCCACCTCAGTTTGATCAGTTTATAAACCCAGAAATGATCAACTCCATTGCCTCTATAGCATCAACTGATCTCAATGCAACTACACTCGATGCATCTACTATCTCTGTCGATTCGACCGAAGGTGGCGAAGCAGATACAACTGGCCGCGACGAAGCCGAACTCTCTGAATCGAGTCAGTCGTCCCTCTCTGGAAGTCTGTCTGGAAGCCACTCTGGTAATCAATCTGAAGGTGGTAGACAAGCTATGAGTCAAGGCCCAGCCAGACCGTCCTCCTTACCGGTTGCCAGGCCACACACCCCTCGCACCACCACATCTTGACCCTTGTGCCCCCCTTCTCTGCTAGCACTACATCCTACCCTATATCCCAGTCTACGCCCTGCTCCCCGTGCTATTCAGCACTATGCTACAGCTCTCTTGTCGTCGGTGCTCACTGATCTCACAATAATGGCAAATCAGAACCCTCGATGAACCCCTCAGCAAAATATATGGCAGTTGAAATAATAGTAAGTCATAGAACACTGCACCATAATAAAAAGATGGAAACTAATTCCAGCCCAAGGCCATTGTTGTTAATGAATTCATTAATGTGCAACTTTTTTCTATTTAATACTGAACATTTGCAGGTCACAAATTACATGTATTTTTCCTCGACTTTAATCGAAAGGAAAATATTTATTATTCAATAAGGCAGCTGTATGCACAAGAAATAATTGAAGTCATTAGTTATACAAAGATTTGTTTATTAATATTTCTAAGTTTGAAGGAAATGTAATTTTCAGAATACTGAGTATGCAAATGTGTAGTGTGTGTGTGTATATATATATATATATATATATATATATATATATATATACTGTATACACATGGTGGCCCAAAAGTTGCTCTACTGTAACATTATTCTTATAAAATAGTATTTACGGTAAAGTAATTTTTGGGCTTGCATATACACTTTATACATTTTGTGTGTGTGTGTGTGTAATTACCTAAGTGTAGCTACAGGATGAGAGCTGCGCTCGTGGTGTCCCATCTTCCCAGTAATCTTGTCATATAACTCCTTGAAACTACTGATGGTTTTAGCCTCCACCACCCTCTCAACTAACTTGTTCCAACCATCTACCACTGTTTGAGAAAGTGATTTTTTTTTTTATTTCTTCGGCAGCTTCGTAAAGTTGGTTTAAATCTATGACCTATTGATCCTGAGGTTCCAAGTCTCGGGAACTCTTCCCTGTCAATTTTATTGATTCCCATTACAGGTACTATTTTGTAAGTTGTGATATCGCCTCTCTTTATTCTGTCTTCTAGTTTTGGCATATTTAATGCTTCTAACTTCTCCTTGTAGTTGTCTAATTCCCAGGTACCTGTTTACTGCTAGGTGAACAGAGGCATCATGGTGAAAGAAACTCTGCCCATTTGTTTCCGGCTCTGCCAGGAATCGAACCCAGAACCTTAGGACTATGAATCCTGAGCGCTGTCCATTCAGCCGTCTGTCCACTAAAAGAGAAACCTGGCACTAGAACTTTAGCATCTCAAAAGGCAATTGAAAAGGGGAAGTTGGGAGGAATTACCATAACAAACAACAAGAAAATCATCTCCATTAATTATCAACAGTTTCTTACTAATCTTGTGAATAATTTGCAACACCGTATGTTCACAACATTCATGAAAGACTTCCAAACTTCTGAACCTCAAAGTATGTATAAATTACTGTTAAATGAAACGTGTGTCCTTGAAAAAAGACTGCTGGCCTGATGAAACACCACCTAATTATGGAGCTGAGATATTCTCTCTCTGTAAGAGGTTTAAGTTTTCTTCTTACTCTGCACCAAAGGCCTTTAGAGACTATGTGGAGGATTATAGATGCCACATCCCCCCCCCCCCAAGATTTACACCCATTACTGAGCTGTTTCCAAGTTATTCCTATTAGTACTGCCGAGTGTGAGGGGGGGGGGGGATTCACTCACATGAACCTGATAACAACAACAACACTCAAGAATTCTCATAAATCATGTATCAGCACTTATGTTTGTTAAACTACATGGACCTCCTCTAGTTCAGTGGCATCCAGAGCCATATGCCATGCCATGTGGCTGCTGTACCACAGATCGGCAGATGACACACAAGTTTCTTCAGACGCCAGAAAACATCTCTCATACATATATGTCGTACCTAGTACTGTAGCCAGAATGCACTTCTCGGCCTACTATGCAAGGACCAATTTGCCTACTAAGCCAAGTTTTCCTGAATTTATATATTTTTCTAATTCTTTTTTTATGAAATCTTTAAGATATCCATTTTACTATGTATGAGTTAATTTTTTCTAATTTGAGTTAAAACTACTGTAGATATATGACCGAACCTAACCTAACCTATTGTAACCTAACCTAAATTTACACAAATAAGTCAATAATTTGTTGCTAATATAATATAATAATAATAATTCAAATAAACTAATTGGAAACAATTAATTGAACATAAAGAAAATCACTTGGACTATTAGGCAAATCGGGACTTGCATAGTAGGCCGAGAAGTGCGTTCTGGCTACTAGGTACGACATATATATATATATAATATTAATTACCGAACATTGAGTAATAAACATATACATTTCTTCCTTTACACATGAAGTATGTTACCAGATGTGGACACAAATACTTATACAGTATGACTAGGTACACAGATCATTTACAATAGACATTCAGACAATTCAACAAAGTTACAATCTTGGTGCAAAATTCTTATATCGCTCCAGAATATCATCAATCTTTCCGTTGTGACACATCCAGGCTATTTGTTCAGGAACAGTCCTTATCTCAATGTTTCTGTATAAACTAATCGGCGGACAATCAAGAACATAATGAGTGAGGGTGAGAGCCCTTGACATACCACATAGTTTACACTTCGTTTCATTCTCACCTATTCTATATTCCCAGTAATATTTGTACCCAAGCCTGTGCTTCATGACACCACGAGCATAGCTATCATTCTGTAACTATACTTGGGTAATTACACACACACATATACAGTATAACTATTGACGTCAGTAAGAGTCAAGGAGTTGTATCATGCCTTGCATACGTTATTAATGTTTTTTAAATGTTTATGTATTGAGATATTTTTGAGAGAGGGTCTTGATGGCTTCCCTGATGTTAGCCACACTGATGTAGCTTCTCGTACATGTCACATTAGTCCCAGGAGTCTCTAACTCTCAAATTGCCCACCCATATTCAGGTTGATTTCCGGGTGCACATAAAAAATATCCCATTCTCCATCGTAAAACACTTCTGATGTATGGAAAAAAATTAATATTTTCAATTTTTCCATAGTGTGTAGAAATGTTGAAAAGTTAAATTCTGATAATTTATTTTCAAATAAAATATTTATAATAGATTTCTCATCACAAATATTTTCCTAGTCCATAAAAGTCTGAAATTTGACATGCCAGTGGCTTCAATGGTTCCTACCATAGGTATTAGTAAATGGATGGTAATGCACCTGACATACCTGGTGGCAACCTTGTGGAGGTTCTGGTAATCAGCGGTCCTGTGGCCTAGTCTCTGTCCAGGCCTCCCAGTTGGTCATCTGGTCAACCAGGCTGTTGGACGATGCTGCTCGTAGCTGGACGTATAAATCACGGCCTAGTTGATCAGATTGTGACATGGTGCCAGTTTTTTAATAATGCCCAGGAAAACAACTAAGACTTTATATTTTTTTTAATATGTCAAATGATGGCCAGAGGTCTCTAGTGCTTAATGGCATTCACGTAGAGTCTTTGGTAATTTTGATTATTATGAGGCACATTAAAACTTCCACAGGTGACAGGAGCATTGTCAGTCTCTCTTGAGAGTGACATGGACAGTTTGAGTTAATAGCCTACTATAGACTAGAGCCAGAACCTGGCTTCCCTCATCTCCTCCCTCCCTCGTACAGGGAACAGAAGATTCTTTCACCCTCACCCAAGGAAACATCCAAAACGTGAGCAAAGCAAAACAGACAACTGCAAGATTCACAGAGAAAACTGAAATGACTGTGAAAATGACTGCTAAAAATCCACTCAATAGTTACAGCCGGCCACTGCAAGGTGGCAACCCCATCCTAGCTGATAGTATTCATTGTTTGCAGGCTTCTTCTTTTCTGGCAAAGAATGATACATTTGACTTCCAGAAGGGTACTTTGGTTATAGATTCATGGCTTTGTTAGGCCAGCTGTTATTAATCAATTAGTTGTTATGTCTCGTGTATATTTATCACTACCTGTGGGCCACCTCAACTGCTTTGAGGGATGCATTGTTTGTAAACCCATTCCTCCCTGCTACATCCCATTTTTTCTTCTAATCCATGGTTAGCTGCAGGGGGCCACCATTTGGCCCCTCCAAAAAACCAGCATTGTATGTAATGAAAACCCTTCTTTGTGGTTGGGTCTTGTTGGTTCCCTGTCCCCTTCCCCCTCCCCCCCAACCCCTCTCCTCCCATCACAAGGTTTCAGCACCACCTTGTGATGACCCACTGTTGGATGGGGGGGAGGGAATGAACTTACAACTGAGTGGTTCGTTTGCAGTTGTTTCTTTTCTCTATGTGAACCTTGCGGTTGTCTGCCTAGCTTTGCTTGCTTTCCGGACATTTCTGGGAAGGGTGATTGTAAAGAATCCCCTGATCCTTGCACCTCTATGAGGTGGGGCCAGGTTCTGAATCTCGTCTGTAGGCTTTTATGGACTCCTGGAACTGATGTAATTCATGTGTAGAGCTACCTCAATGTGGCTAGCTTCAGGAAACCACTGAGGCCCAACCAGAATCCCTTTTTTTTATAGTAAATATTAATAGTAAGACTTCCATGCCATCTATTGGGATTTACATAGTTATAAATATCATGGACATAGACATAGTCCATTTCTCAAGGAAAGAGAAGTTGAGAAACTTAAGAAATATAATGTAAGTTCAGCATTTGCTTCTCTTGCAATGAACTGTTAGTACAATGCTTTTCTAGTCACAAGCTACAGACAAACAGTTGTGCTTTACAAAGTCTGTACAGTACATATATGATTTGTAAAGAGGATCTCATTGTCGTACCCAAGGTCTTGTTTCCGGTACCTCATTTATATACAATATTTCTTGTTTGTGATGTACTGTATTACTAATTACTCATCATTATCAATATATAGTATACTGATGGTAATAGCGATACAAACATGCTTTGTGTATACTACGACTCGGCACACTCACCATCGCTATTGTTGCTCCATTACCTATATAATGTCAAGCAAGCTGCCTTACTTTTTAAATAATAGTGGAAAATCCAACCTAGTTCTGTGTGATCTTTTATATTGCAATATTTGTATCAAGACGTATTCAGTCATTAACCATGTTTGCTGAAGAGGTCTTCAATAATTGTCACTGCTTCTCTGCTAATTATATTGAAAATGTGGAGAGACAGTGATAGATCTTAATATAATACATTTTACTACAAGGCAATACCCAACATTTTTGTTATTTTATAAAATGCTACATTACTTATATGGTAAGAAATCTGATATGCCCAATGTCTATTAAGTTATATTTGATAGTTTTTACATAATTTAGCATCCTGAACCATTTCTAAAGTTTTCACGTATAAATATTGAAGAATTTGAACTTATTACGCAAATATATAGTGTGATATGTCTGTTGGTTCTTAATGAATTACAGTATTGTCTTGAAAATACAAAAATCCCTTCCAGAATTATACTGTAGAATGGAAGCAGACACCTTGAAATGTAAAGTTTATTGTAGTGCTCGTGAGGGAAGAGTTGAAATGGACGATACTGAATGTTCTAGTATTCGTCGTTTCCGTGTGAGCATACACATAACTGTGTGTTTTAAATTATGCTACATAGGTCTCCAACATGCACACAAATGACTAGCATGAAGTATAGTACAATATGAGCAAATTTTGTTTACATATTTAAGATCATGACTTGTTTCCAAGTGTTGATAAATATTATGGTATTAGAGGAAACTGTAACCACATTAATGAGAGAAAATAACTTTTTTGACGTAAAATAATTTTTTGTTTGTATTTTACATTCCTGTTATACTATATTATATTTCACTATTGCTAAATATGTCTGGAAGATGGAAAACATACACATTGTCTTCTGTTAAATTGGTGCATGTCTTGGGTTATTTTGTTAACTTTTTTGTTGATTCTTTGTTTAATTATATTTTATTCTTAGATTTGCTCTATTTGTTCCTTAGCTAGATTATCACCATGTTAAGGCACAAGATATTAAGTGGCCAACACTGAGCATTTTTATTTTTTACAGAAAGAAAAGCTAAAAATAGATCTTTTAAATAAATATAATGTCATATTGGCATATTAAGAATTATTAGTATGGATTTTAGACACACAGCTGTCCAACTCAAAATGTCATCACGAGTAGGATTTGATTAGTTGAACCTACAGTATTTCAAGATTGTAATTGAAGCTCTTAACACTGGGTGTAACCAACCTTTATGCTACAGTGTCTCTATAGCCAAAGGAAAAGCCATAATATTACTTCCATCCATTAGGCAATAATGTACTATTTAAATGGCTTATATAATTAGTTTTAATAATATTGTTATAATTATAGTGTACACTTGCTAATTCAATTGAACTGTAACCAATGCTGCTGTGAAGGACACAATAGGTCAGACTTTTATTTATTATTATTTTGATAAAAAAGTAATAGTAATACATATGCAGACGAGGAGTCACAATAACGTGGCTGAAATATGTTGACCCAACCACACACTAGAAAGTGAAGGGACGACGACGTTTTGGTCCGTCCTGGACCATTCTCAAGTCGATGAATGAGAATGGTCCAGGACGGACCAAAATGTCATCGTCCCTTCACTGTCTAGTGTATGGTTTGGTCAATAATAGTAATACAGGTGAACCTTGGTATTTGGATTTAATTGGTTCCTGAAGGCAGGACAAATGGCAAAAATTGAGAGTACCGAACAATTTTTTCCCCATAACGAATAATGCAAATTAGATTAATCCATTCCAGATCACAAAATTAAATATATGTATACAATAATTAAATGAAATAAATGCTAACACACTACACACTTTACCTGCACTTAGATGACATATGTGGTTGATGACATATGTGGAAGGTGGTGATGGCAAAGAAAGAGATGTTATTCTTCGGCAGGGGAGTCCCCTACCATTATCACAGCTTTGTCAAGGTGATATTTTTCAGGAAAACTTTGCATTTACCCCCACTTTGGGTACATTTGTTTTATAAGAGAACTAGATTTAGGCATCTACTCTTAACAAGAGCAGACAAATGGGCACCACATTCATATTTAGCAGTGAGTTCTTTCTTCATCTCTATCCTGGTTCTAACCATTTTTCTTTATCCTTGACCCTTATCACAAATTTTCTTAGGTGACATGGTGACTTATTTACACTAAGAATATAAAAAATATCCAAGAAAAAAGTGTAGCGAGTTGTGCACTGAATGACAGCTATGGTGAAACTGAAGCGTCAGGGATGCGTGTTTACGTCTGAATGCCGAACAAACAGATGAATACCAAACTTGAACACACCGTCTGAATACCGAAAAGTGCAAATTGGGAGTGGTGCAAATACCGAGGTTCCTTTGTATCAGTATGAATGAATAAACATATACTGTATTTGCAAATGGTTAAACAAAATGCAGGCAAAAAGTGCATTTTCAATATATAAATAATTACAGTAAAAACATGGGCTATGTAGACTTTTCAGTTAAATTCTCAAGATGGTTTATTACCTCATCATCTTTCTATTGCCAAATCTTTAGTATAATATTTGTAGAGGTATTGTTAGCTGTTTGATTAATTACATACTAATGCATTATAGTACTTATACTATCATTTAATAATTATTGTACACAATGTACCATATTCTTCTTATCTCACTGAGCCTGATTACTGCTGCCATTAGTGAGAGACTGTTGAAGCGAGGTGGACACGGTTCGGCCATATCTGATACAGTGCCAGAAGAGAAAGAACATTCTACATTATTACTCACTTGACAGGGAAATAATTAATTTCAGCAATTAATGATTGTGTGTTAATATTTTTTAAGTAATAATTAATCACACAAAATTTTTTAATTTATAGTTTTTATATTTTTTGTACTAAAGTATAAACTTAGGTTAGCATCTGACTGTGTGTGTGTGTTTACTCAACTAATTTTGTGTGTGAGAATGTGTGCTTTCTGATCCATGTTCTCAGTGGGTAACTTGAGCTGTGAGTGGGCCACATAGTGGACATTGTCTAGATAAAATTTTGTGCAGACTACTGACTAATTTGGACCATCTGAATTTGAATTAATGAGCGTACACTTTTTTATTACAATACTGTACTCTACTAAACTGGCAATACATATAAAATATGTAAAGAAGGATATAAATGAAGCAAAAACAAGGAATAGATGAAAATAGTTTGAATTCAAAACACAGTAATGAAATTTGAAATGCAGCACTAGTATGTTACATTGGGTCTCGTATACTAAAGTTGTTCAGCGCACAGCAGGAAAGTATCTACCCTTTATTTGCAAAGTGACTTTTCTGTATATATGATAGATACTAACATGGGCTAATATAATGTAGATTTTTTAACCCTTAAGCTGCTAATGGGTCCTGAAGACTTTTACACCCCCCATGCACAAGAATTTTTATTTGTTTTTTTTAATTTGACTTCTTAAAATGTTCATTTGTGTTCCCTGAGCACGGGGAAAACAAAATCGTAGGTATTTTGGCCACAAATAGACCAAAATAGGTATTTTGTCAAAATCGTGACATATTTTGGCCACAATAGACCGAGGAAGTCTGGCAAAAATGTAACCGTTGACAGAGCAAGCGTTAGAGGCGGTCAGCTCCGCCACAGTTGTCAGGCAGAAGTTGCCACAAAGATAGTATTATTACCTAATTATTTCAATGTCTCTTATTGATTTTTTCTTAATTTTTTTGCAGTAATATTATTCAATAGTTTGTAGTGTTATATTTATATAATAAAAGGGTTGAATTATCGCTATACTCAAAATTATGGTGTGCATAATAGTGATTCAATTATGTTCATAAAACAACAAACAAATAGTTTTGCTGTTATTACACTATATACAGAGGTTATATACAAGTATCTGCATGTTTTGTTCACCATAATGAACCACTAGGTTTGTATGGTGAGTCAGAAAGCAACGAGGAGTGGCAGCCACACCAGCCAGCCAGCCAGCCACTTGCCGCCACTCCCTCCCTCAACTACACCTCACTTGCCAACATTACTGTTGGCTAGTGAGCACCATACTGTTATGCTTTTATTCACTATATATGGATGTTATATATAAGTATCTACATGTTTTATTCACCATAACTGTACAACTAAGCTGGTATGGTGGGTTCAGGCAATATAAAAGTGACGTCGCCACACACACACAGCTGGCAGCTGCCTCCCTCACTGGTTCAAGGCCAGATGCACTATTCTTCCCCCAACAATAATGTTTGTGGTGTTATTACACTATATATATATATATATATATATATATATATATATATATATATATATATATATATATATATATATATATATATATATATATATATATATATATATATACACATTATATATAAGTATCTATATGTTTTTTATCACAGTCAGGGGTCTTCTATAATATTGTCATCGCTAAATAATAGCAGTTACATAATTATTTTGACATTTTTAGGCGATGCTGTGGTCACAAGCTGAACAGCAGTGTTGTTAGCTCATGCTGCATGCACCAGCCTTGGTTACTCACACAGTACTGTGACTCTCACACCAGAGAATGTCCACGATTTTTTTTAAACAGCATCTGTTTACGAGAGCCCTGAGGAAGCTGATGTGAACCCCATGTAGCCGCAAGCCATTTGAATCATGGCCGGCACCCTACATTGTATATTTATGTCATGCGCACAGTGGGACATGTTACTCCGGTCATATATACATATATGCCATGTGCAGTTTAAGGGTTAACAGTGTGGCACTCTGGCCAACGTTTTAAAAAATCAACATCTTCCCCCTCCCAGTCTAGTTCCTCTGCCCTTTCATAAATTATAATATTATGGAGAAATTAAACTAACGTAATTTGTTTAAGAAATCATTTTTTCTGATGACGAAAAAGTCTTCAGACATCTGAACAGATATTTTACATTTGACCAGAATTGAATCCTGGAGAATAAGGTGGGGAGGTCTTGAATAATTAATAATATTTCTTAACTCATTCAATTGAGCCTTACCCCAGACCATTTTCCCTACAAATTTGGGTAAGGCTAGCCTCAAGTACAGTATGTGGCCTGAACAGACACATTCTCTCATAATATAGATGTATGTATTCATGTATGCATGTATTTGTATGTATATGTATTATATAGTGGATTGAGAGACAAATCAGGGACTTGGTAGGTTGTTCATATAGTGGATGTTTATATAACAGGGACTCCCTGTATCTCCCACTGATTATTAACTTAATGCTTCAAAATATAAACGAACATAACATTCAATGGTTGTGATTCTGGGAGAGTGATAAAAATCATATGACTGCACGTGTAGATATAATAACTTGCATACCAAATGTGTTGGATCAGATTTACCGTCACAACTTTTATATTTAAATATACTGTACTTTCATCTAACACAGAAAAAAGTTGAATTTTTAAATGACAAAGAAAATAAATATTCATAACAAGCATGATTACTAAACCATCATATACACGTGCGGGACTCAAATTGGAAAAATAAGGTCCTTAGGAACTGACAGGTACACATTATGTAATGTTGCTGCTCACTGGGTATTAAATTTAATGAAAATTATTAAGCTGTTTTGTTTGAAATTTTAATTTCACTGATAGTATGTAATTTCTATGTAATTCCCCCCTATTGGATGCTACTATTTCTTTCATCCAGGACTTATCACTCAATCTTGCACTATGTTTCCCATGGCCTGAGGAAGGCCCTTCTCTGGTGACTTTCAGATTGTGCTTGCTCGGTATGCCATAACTGTGCGGTCTAGAAAGAACTGTCACTCACTGTAAACTTCCAAACCTTTTGTTTAGGAAGACCAATGTGGAGGCCTGTAAGGTCATCCATACAGCTGAATATGAGTTAGAGATTCTACTTCTCCACTGTTAATGTTAACACGCTTCTTTCCCATATCTGCATGAAGATTTGCAAGATTGCAGTAAAATTTGTTCTTGATGTGGCATCTTTCCTTCATCTTTATGGTTTTGTTATGGCTGAGCCAGTCGAGTATTGGTCTAAAATGAGCACGGTATGACTTATTATCCATTAGCTCTACTTCTCATCACCTTCCTGGCTTTGTTACCAATTAATCCTGCGCTGTATCTTACTATCATACTCACCTTCAACAACCCTTACAACATTGTCTTCGCCTTCCTTAAATTCAAGTCGACTTTGTCCTTTTGCAAATCCATGACAGTATTTTATATGGGATGCTCAGCTGTCTCATGCACATTACAGTACCTATTGTATCTATTATGTATATATAACCACATTTAGTATGCTGAGTCTGCCCCATGAGGCATGACTTGAGGCAATGTTCTTCACATCAAGAAATCCAGGATGCAAGGCATCCCATTGCTCTGCCAAGTTGCATTTGTAAGTTTTGTTTCCTGCATTTTTCTCAACCGGGTCTGCTCATTCTTGAGCATTGGGTTTGAAACTTTTTGCACTTCCCTAATGCAGAGCTTACATGTAGAACCAGTGTTCTGTTGCTACTGCTTTTGATAGTATTGCCATCAATACTTAACATGATCTCTGTAACTCCCACACTGATACATTCATGCTTGCACTATAGTTGACTGCTGCTCCTGTTTACTGCTGTTTTCTTTACATTCTTTTACTACAAGGATGACCTGTTTGCAAGATTCTATCTCAGTGCATGTTCGCAATGTGTCCCTTGTATTATTCCTACCTAGTCTCATTAAAGTATCCCACTACTGAAATTGTGCAAAACCCTGTTCTGTTTGGTGAAGGCTTTTCATTTAACATTTTTGCTGCTATTCACACACTACTGCTTTGTCTATGAATGGGTCAAAGTCTGCTGATAGCATTGGCTACTAAGTTATTTTTTTGGTCAGATCTGTATGTGCTGAATTTCCCAAGAAAGGAGCATTCTGCAATTTTGTACACTCTATATCAGTTAGGTTTTTATGCATCAATATTCATTTGGTATTGTGGTTGACCTTCACAGTGCCCTCATGGTTCTGGAATCTCTAACCCTTCCCCATTCAATAGTGATGAAAATCCAATGCTGGCTGTTCTTCATCTTTAGCATATATTAAGAGTCAAATTATGTTAGGCCTTCAGCCAGATTAGTGTTGCCTCTAATGACCATAAAAAGGCCACTGCTAGTGAAGCTGTGCATGCCTGTCTCAATCTTTCAGAAGCTGATT